GGCTCCAACGATAACGTGTACAGCTGCCCATAGAACCTCTCAATCTCACTCAAAATCTCAGATGCCCCGGAAACGATGCTGCCACATTCGGTCTTCAGCTTTGACAGTTGGCTCTTTCTGGCAGACAGATCTCTGGCAAAGACTTTGGAGCCTTGGTTCCGCTCGATCGCTTCTTCAATACAAGCTGTATTGAAGTTGCGTAAGTCCCGCCGCATGCATTTGGAGATCTGTTTGTTCAGTTGCCTGTATGCTGTCAAATCTGTTGAAGAATGTAGCTGCATCCCCCGTCTAACAGCCATGAGTAACACGCAGATCGGAGAGTTTTTGTGTTCTTCTGTGGCGGATCTTGCAGAACTGAGCTCCGACCGCATGGACAGTTTCCATGAGCTTGTCATTCAAATCGTCCACTTCATTGCAGTCTTCTAGGCACTGAAAACGGTTTTGTAACTCGAGCTGAAATGTTTCGGGACTTTGGATTAGAGCACGAGGGGGACGGAGCGTTGACTTCATTAGACGAGACCTCTCCAACTTAATGTTTAGGTTCAGTGTGCCTCTAACCATTCGGTGATCGCTGCCGGTTTTCACCCTCGCGATCACTGAGACATCACTGAACAGTTGTCGTCTGGTCGTCATAATGAAGTCAATCTCATTTTTTGTCGAACCGTCGGGGCTCGACCAGGTCCACTTCCTGTGGGGCCGCTTCTGGAAGAAAGAGTTCATCATAAAGAGTCCCTCTTTCTCCATGAAGTCGGCCAGCTGCTGGCCCCTTGGGTTCCGTTGCCCTATTCCAAATTTCCCCACTTTCAGCTCACCGTTCTCTCTTGTGCCTAGTTTTGCATTGAAGTCTCCCATTAACACCGTATATTGGGTTTTGGAGGAATGCATGGCTCTAGAGATATCCTCATACATTTCCTCCACCTCCTGATCGGGGTGTGCCGAGGTTGGTGCGTAAACCTGTATGACCTTCAGCGAATACCGTTTGGTGATTCTGAGTATAAGGTACGCAAACCTCGTCGACACACTCTCAATCTTTACAACGTTGTTAACGAGAGACTTGTGGACGATAAATCCGACACCTCCTTGGGACAGATGGTCGCCCTCCCGGTAATAGAGCAAGTTGCCGGATTCGAGGATTACCGTGTCGTCCCCCTCTCTTCGTACTTCGGATAATCCTATAATATGCCAGCGTAACTTGTCTATCTCTTCTTCCAGCTCCACAATCTTCTCGTCAGTCCTCAGGGTGCGTGCGTTGTATGTTGCCAGGTCGAGTCGTCGTAGGTGGCAACCGAACCTCCACCGGAGATTCTTAGCACCCCCTGCCCCACCGTTACCATGGTCGCCACCGTAGCCAGGAATAGCGGGGCCGCCGGGGACTGGGGGCCGTCTCTACGTAACTTTCATCATGGGGGGTATATTGCCATAGTTGCCACGCTTGGCGATCGGTTTGGCAACCGCAGTTTTTTTATTGTATTTTTGCCGTTACCAGGAAGATGCTGCTGCCCATCTCCTGCCTGTTTCCCTTTGTCGCCTTTTACGACACCCACGGGAAGATATGGGGTAGTGGATATTCTTAACCGCCACTACACGATTAATATGAAGCGTAAATATTAACAAACATAAAAACAACAAGCAACTTTTTCTTTCCTTTTCCAACGCGTAGTGTTTCTATATAGTTTGTGCCTTTTCCTTTCATTCGTCCGTTATACTTTAAGAAAGTTTTTATTTCATATATGTTCATGGTATTTGCTATAAGGCTTTCAGCCATAAACCAAAAAGAATATAATTTATCACTATAATAATCTTAAATCTTCCTTCCTTAAAATGGCTACTTATTTGCCTAGTGTAGGGGCAATCGCCGGTGTAGGAGTGTGGATGACCCTTAACTGTGATGTATGTATGCAAGCAGGGGTAATATCCTAAGTCGGCCCTGCGGCAGGGAGTTAGGGGCGCAAGATTTTCCTTGCTCCCTATATCGTAGCTGCCGTTGCCGCGTGTGTAGCGCAATTGGGGCAATTTCAATCAGTTCGTTAGCGACTTTCGCACGGAACACTTGTGTGAGTACAAGTCACAATAGATACAAATAAAGAATGTGAAATTTGGACATTGGTGATAGAATTCTATAAATAGCGTCCTCTTCTTCCACTATCACCTTTTCGTCTCTTTTTTTGCGGTAGCACTGCAGAAAGCTCGTTATTTGAACGTGGCACCGTTTTTAAACGTAGTAGAGCAATGCTGCAGCGTTTATGTGCTATATTATGGTTGTAATTATTAATTAATTAGTTGTTTTATCGATAAATGTGGGTGTCTATGGGCCATACTATCCATTTACCATCAGTTGGACTGTGCTTATTTGTCACCCTTATTCTATATAAAAAGAGCCAAGGCTAAATATGTCGATTCATAGATATTTCGATAAAACTGGCGCCAGCGAGACGTACATTCTCATACATATCTCATATATAGTAGGCAGGCAGTTCTGATATTGCTTCGATCCCAGTACACCCTAGATTGCTCCTGTGGCAGGCAAGTGAGTAGACGCCTTTATCTTATCCACATACTATGATCCGAGTCACTGGGTTACTACGTTTACCTAATTACTACGGTAAAGGTAATACAATCAAACGTTGCAACTATACTATACTTTTTATCGTAGACCGCAAAACGTAGTGATCTTTGACCTAATACTAACTGGACGGCGGGTCTTTAACAAAATTCACGAAAAATGTGTCACGAAAAATGTATAGAAATATAAAAAACTATAACATCCTATATATATATCATTAGAAAACTGCTCAATTTTACTTGTGACAATTTAGCAGCCTATTTCACTTCTACTAGAGGCCGCACTATTTGCACCTTATGAAGCTTCTAGCGAAAAATGTTTTTTTTTTTAAAGGATATGGGTGACAAACGAGCACACAGTCCACCTGATGGTAAGTGGTTGCTGCGGCCCATAGACATCTACATCTATCCTCTGTTACAAATCAAAATGTAGATGCGTTGTCACCCGTGAGGACTAAGATGGGATGCCTCATTTCCAATAAAAAGGGCCTCCGGCCACCTGCACTCACCAAGCGAAACGCAGAGGTAAACCTCTACTTCACGCTGGTTTTCTGTGAGGTCGTGGTACTACCCCGGTTCGAACCGGCCCATCCGAGCGACAGCAAAAGCTGCCGCGTGACTCTACCACTGTTGGTATGGTTAATAGTTTTTATAATTAATATGAATTTAAATTAAGTACTATGTATCTGAGCAAAATATTACTTTTAAATGATGAAATATTAATAGTCCTTATCGAAAATATAATACACCATCGTCTTTTCTGACTTTACTAAATTAGTCTTATGGTGAAAACATGTCACCATATAGTACGGTATTTTAGACATGTCGGTGGACAAAACGAATACTGGCGCACGATTGGAACTCTTTTTGCATGTTGGAACTCTTTTGGCTCTGACACTTTTGAGTGCGGACTTGAGGTCCATTTAGTAGTAGGTCATTGGATTGAATGCTTTGAACACAAAAGTCTGTCATTTTTGGTCCTGGGCGAGGAAACACTTCATATAGACAGTACTGCACACCAACTCAATAAAATTTTATGGTAATATGGCACACACAAATCTAAATTTCCAACATTATTTCATTTTACGCATACATATAGGTTAAATATATCAACATAGAAAAAGTTATTAGTGTAAAACAGACGAATTAATTGCAATGCTACCATATCGATATTTTATAGCCATAGTTTCCCTAAGCGAAAAAAAAACATGTATAAGCAAAACTTACGCGAACAATTAAAATCATTTGAATTCTTTAGTTTAGTCAGCACAACAATTCTTTTCAGAGTTCCTTAATAAAACAACAAGCAACCCTTACATTTTCTTCAAGTCCGTCCGTCTGTCCGTCTATACGCGGCTTAGCGTAGAGACTATTGGTACTCTAAAGAGCTGTAACTTTGCATGATTATACATAAGTACCAGAAATAAAAAACACGCATAGTGTGAGTCGGACTCGCGCATGAACGGTTCCATCCCTCATATCATCATCGTACAAGATTTACCCACTCAACCGTCCGCCCCGCGCGAGTGATTCTCGCCTGACCTGTCCGCGCATTAAATGGCACTATTTTTACGATCGCGCGAGACTGTTTTAACAGAAACGATTACTACTGAAAAACTACTATAGCTACATTCAAATAATAAATATTCTCAAAAGACTCAAAGAATTCAAAATTTAATTTTGATAAAAGAAAATTAGTCAAATTAAAAATAAAGCTTAAAAATGGGAATATCAAAAAAATCCTATTTATTTTTTATTTCGAGTTTTAAAAGTAAAGTGTAATGCTTACTGGAGACAATTATTTTATATTAAAATAGTACTTGATCCCTTTAAAATGACACCAATATCAATAATATCTTATATACTCAATATACATAAGTAAGTATATAATGTTTACCCAATATAGATTTGAATAAATAAGTACATAAATGAAAAAAAATAGGTTTTAATAATTCCTAGACACATCTCAACAGATATTTCGTTTATAAATTGTTATCAACGTGTTAATAGTGAATCACTATTTTATATTTTGCATTCATTTAACACAAAAAACTGATTAGAATATGTAGCATATTATGTCGGTAGATAATTATAACGGTTTCTACGGCTACCCTGTATTGTGTGAATAAATGATCGTTTACGGTTTCGGTGTGTTTAAATAAGCCCTTCCCGTATTCCTTGAATAGCAAGGACATTACAGTGGCGACGAGTTTATTTTGTGTGTTAATAACGAATTAACCAACAGTAGAAGTCACGCGTTAAAATGTTTATCTATGGGAAAGTGCCAGTTTTCGATTGCAAAACAGATGAGTGGGTAGTACACGTAGCACAACTAAACAACTTCTTTATTGCAAATGGAATCGATGATATCACAGATGCTCAAAGAGTGAGAGGACGGGCAATTTGATTGAATGGCATGTCACAAGACTCATATCGTCTTATTCGTGATTTATTGTATCCAAATACGCCTGATGCTCGGCACCCGCGGGGTAGCGCACGGCGAGCACCGCGCCCAGCCCGCCGGGCGCCGCGTCCACTGTCAGAACTAGCTGCTGCCGCGGGTTAAAGTGCGCCAGTACGTAACTTGAACATAACTCGTCTTTGATAGCATCGAATGATTTCTGATGTTCCGCCGTCCATTCCCATTTCATATTTTTTCGCAGTAAATTATGTAATGGTACAAGAATGACTGCCGCTTGCGGTATAAAACTACGGTAAAAGTTAACTAAGCCCAAAATGATTTTAATTGTCGGACGTTTCCTGGCACCTTTGCTTGTGTAATAACCTTTATTTTATCCGGATTTTTATGAATGCCAAAACGATCAATAACAAAAGCCAAATATTCTATTTTATTTTGGAAGAAAGAACATTTCGACCGCTGGAGCATTAGCCCGGCGTCTCTTAGACGTCTTAATACCAAATCGACACGTTCCCAATGTAATTCGGCGGTCGGAGCCGCGATTAACAAATCGTCGAGGAAACACTCCACGCCATCTATGCCCTGCAGCAGTTGCACCATAGCACACTGGAACAAAGCTGGCGCATTTGACAAACCAAACACTAATCTCGTATAAACAAAGAGACCTTTATGCGTATTGATACATGTATATTTAACCATACCAAAAGTGGTAGAGCCACGCGGCAGCTTTTGCTGTCGCACGGATGGGCCGGTTCGAACCGGGGTAGTACCACCATAGTGCGGCCTCTAGTAGAAGCAAAATAGGCTGCTAAATTGTCACAAGTAAAATTGAGCAGTTTTCTAATGATAATATGGTTTAAATTGGGATGTTATAGTTTTTTATATTTCTATACATTTATCGTGACACATTTTTCGTGAATTTTGTTAAAGACCCGCCGTCCAGTTAGTATTAGGTCAAAGATCACTACGTTTTGCGGTCTACGATAAAAAGTATAGTATAGTTGCAAGGTTTGATTGTATTACTTTTACTGTAGTAATTAGGTAAACGTAGTAACCCAGTGACTCGGATCATAGCATGTGGATAAGATAAAGACGTCTACTCACTTGCCTGCCGCAGGGGCAATCTAGGGTGTACTGCGATCGAAGCAATATTAGAACTGCCTGCCTACTATATATAGATAGATAGATAGATAGAAAATTCTTTATTGCACTCAAACAAACAAACATTTGGTACAAAGGCGAACTTAATGCCAAAAAGGCATTCTCTGCCAGCTAACCTTTGGTAGTGTGGTGAGAGTTATGGGTAGAGCCGCAACAGAGGGAAAAAAAAACTAACTTACTTTAGAAACTAACTTCACATATTATTCAATAATATAATATTATATAAATATGTTACTTTATATATATATTGACACTTCATACACACACATATATACATATATATAAATGTATATATACGTATAAACAAAAATACATACTATACCAATAAAATACATACAATCTAGTATAAGAAAATATAATATTATATAAACCAATAATATTAATCAAGTAATTTTAAATAATGTGCCTCAACCTTACGTTTAAATGAATTTATTGAGGGAGCATCTTTTATATCTCGTGGAAGGTTATTCCAAAGTGTAATTGATGATACCGTAAAGGAATCTGAGTAGTATGTAGATTTATGCAACGGGATAGTTAGAGTTTTATTGGACATCGAACGGGATAAGCTTAAGTATGAAAAACGCTCTTTCAGATAAGCTGGGGAACAAGGATTGTAAAGAATACCATACAAAGTGGTTAGAAGGTGTGTGTTCCGGCGAAAACGGATGTCGAGCCACTTAAGTCTTGAGCGAGATTGTGATATATGATCAAAATTGCGCAGGCCAAAATATAGCGTATGCACAAATTGAGCAGACGGTCGAGTTTGCTAAGCAGTTCCTCAGTTATATCTGGATAAGCAATATCAGCATAATCTAAAATAGGAAGCAACAGAGTGTTGACTAACGTAACTTTGGCCGTCTGAGGGATAAACTTTTGCCAGAGCTTTAATGAATGCATTGTGCTAAAAATTCGTTTCCGGACCTCACTAACTTGTGACACCCAGCTTAGGTCGTGAGCCAAAATTAAGCCGAGGTTTTTAACCTGCCTAGCATATTCTAAATCAACACCGGTTAGAATAACCTTAGGCAGATGTTGATAGTCGAGTCGGCATGTAATTTTTCTGCTGCCTATGATTATAACCTGTGTTTTGGCAGGATTTAATATTAGTCCATGACAGCTTGCCCACTGATGAACTGCAGCAAGATCCAAATTCATTTTGTCAACAGATGCATTTAGGTCATTTACACTAAAATGCTGATACAGCTGGACATCATCTGCGTACAGGTGATACTTGCTGAAATTTATCACGGAAACAAGTGCCCTGATAAACACAGAAAAAAGCAACGGAGATAAAACACCGCCTTGAGGAACACCAGCAACAACGTTACACCAGTCGGAGAACTTATCATCAACACGAATGCGTTGCCGGCGTCCCCGAAGATAGGAACTGAACCATTGTACAACTGATGATGTTAAATTCAGGGATTTTAGAACTGCTAACAGAATGTCGTGGTCAACACAATTAAACGCGTTACTGAAGTCTAGGAGGACAAGAAGAGTAAGTTGAATTATCCATCGCAAAGCGGATATCATCAGTTATTTTAATTAAGGCCGTGGAAGTACTGTGCAGTGGACGGAAACCAGACTGAAAAGGATTGAAGAGGTTGTTTTTGTTTAGAAATTTTGTGAGTTGGTAATGAACAACCTTTTCAAGAATTTTAGAGAAGAAGGAGAGGATAGATATTGGCCTATAATGGTTGAAATTAGCAGGAGAGTTGTTTTTGGGGATAGGAATTAGGAACGCTTCTTTCCACTTGGTAGGGAAGGAATATGAGATATGTATGCGCCAGTTTTATCGAAATATCTATGAATTGACATATTTAGGCTTGGCTCTTTTTTATATAGAATAAGGGTGACAAATGAGCACAGTCCAACTGATGGTAAATGGATAGTATGGTCCATAGACACCCACATTTATCGATAAAACAACTAATTAATTAATAATTACAACCATAATATAGCACATAAACGCTGCAGCATTGCTCTACTACGTTTAAAAACGTTGCCGCGTTCAAATAACGAGCTTTCTGCAGTGCTACCGCAAAAAAAGAGACGAAAAGGTGATAGTGGAAGAAGAGGACGCTATTTATACAATTCTATCACCAATGTCCAAATTTCACATTCTTTATTTGTATCTATTGTGACTTGTACTCACACAAGTGTTCCGTGCGAAACTGCGAACTGATTGAAATTGCCCCAATTGCGCTACACATGCGGCAACGGCAGCTACGATCTAGGGAGCAAGGAAAATCTTGCGCCCCTAACTCCCTGCCGCAGGGCCGACTTAAGATATTACCCCTGCTTGCATACATACATCACAATTAAGGGTCATCCACACTCCTACACCAGCGATTGCCCCTACACTAGGCAAATGAGTAGCAATCTTAAGGAAGGAAGATTTAAGATTATTATAGTGATAAATTATATTCTTTTTGGTTTATGGCTGAAAGCCTTATAGCCAATACCATGAACATATATGAAATAAAAACTTGCTTAAAGTATAACGGAACGGACGAATCATGCTATTGTATCTTCTAAGAAATTTCACTGATGGTTAAACTACCGCCATCTAGTCATTGATTTATGAAACACTTAATACTTTTTTATTTATAGCGGCTCCGTAATCTTGCATTTTTAGCTGCTTTACGTAGATCAATCAAGATAGTGTGGCCGCCACAAAAAAATCAGGCATTATCAGTAATAATTCTAATGATAGGTGTAAAGGAAATTGTAAAAAGGAAATCATGTGTTATTAAGCAAATTATTGTTATATGTTATTGCATATATTAACTACATTTAAAAGGAATATTGGTGTTACTAAACTTATTTATTTTTGACCATGAGGTTTATATTATACTCGTGACAATCTAAGAATCCCGATTTGACAGCTATAAAAATACTTTGTGTATTGATGGGAAAAAAATTGGTTGCTTTAAAAACCGATTCTCGAGATATATCTATTATTTAAAGTTTGTAATGGACAATGTATGTACATAGTTTAAAATTGATTTTCAGGGCATATCGTTTTAATACATGATCGAGTGTGTAATATTTAACAGTTATTACATAAATCGAAACTAAGTTTAAATTTGGGCTAGTTTCAAAGCCAAGACATAAACTAAAACCCGATATACTGATTTCTTCCGGAAGGTTTACGTATATCAGTGGCGTGCCTGCATAATATACATTGTATATTATGCAGGCACGCCACTTATATGCACTCGCACGAAGCCGAGGCGGGTCGCTAGTCAAGAATAAAATAAACATTAAATAAGTGTGGTTGGGTCAGTTAAATAAATAAATTCACTGAATTCGTAACATTTTTATTCATTTTCGTCTCTGGAAGCTCCAGAAAAATTATCATCAGTTGAACTGTCTTCATCGATTAACCTTATAATAAATTCACTTTCAATCAAATTGTCAAAATGTACGTCTCTTCTAAAGTTTTCCGTTATAATTTTCTTTGTCCTTTCTACTAAATTGATTCAATCATCTTTTGTGACATGTGAACATGCTTCTTTAAGAAAACCAAGCGTTTTTTTTTTTTGTGGTGAATGAAGGTTTTGTATTTTGACGTGCACCATAGCCTGTAAAAGATTTAAAGTTATAATAACTACATTCTTTATTCTCTCGTGCAGTCAAACGGCAGGATAGGTTCTAATAAATATGCCATTCAATTAACTATAAAAATAGGACAGCAGTCAGCCGCTCTATTAGGCGAAATATATCTACTAATATTATAATGTTCCTGGATTTTTTTTTTATAAACATATATAAAATATATATTTATAAAACGTATGCAATCGTTCCTTTTAGATTAAAATATTTAAGTACTAACCATGAACTTGAGCCCAAATCATCTCTATAGCATTGTATTGACGATGGTATGGTGGGGTCCTTATAATTTTATGCCGATGTTCCTGTGCAAACTCATCGATGGCGTATTTTGGCCTCACAGTTTTCTTTTGTTTGACTAACAAACAAAATAAACCTGTGAGGCCAAAATAACTAATTTGAACAGTTCTGCTTTCAATAAATTTAAGTCAGCATCCACACCTTGATTTTGTAGCCCTGTGTGTAGTGTGTGCAATTCATTATCTTCAGCCAGGAGGCCCGTACTTTTCCTTTGTAATATTTCAAATTGTTTTTATGCCAATTCCAAGCGCTTGTGCGACTCGTTTGTGTACTTGGGTAACTTCTAAAAGAGGCCCTCTATTTGCTGACTCGTTCAAAGTACTCGTACAACTTCAAAACCAAGTCACGAGACTGGCTGTTAAGAGTACGTCCTCTTTTGTACATGTTGTCTAGTTCACATGATAACACCAAAATCACGTAATGCGTAATCAAAGTCCTGAACTAGCAAGCCAAGGTCAACGAGTATAGCAGAAACAGTCCAAGAGTGATAGCTGAGTCAGAAAATATAATAATAACCAATAACACAAAAATTTCCAAGATAGCGAGAGACCGCGCAAAGCATTGATGAATCAATGGCTTAGAAGGAAAAAAATGGAGGTTAAAATACATTTTTTCAATATCAAAGGATGAACTCAGGCTTTTTTAGCCAAACTATTTCCAATATTAACATATTAAATATCAAAATAAAGCTAGAAATATATGGTCAGATATGTGGTCAGATTTTGTTGTTTCTTTTCTAAATGTAAAAGTATCGATTTTTCAGAACATCGATTTTATTTGGCCCAAAAACGGTTTATAACAGTCACAACACTACGGCAACGAATCCAAAAACATGTCATTGTAATAACGTTCTGTCGGAATATTAATCAACGATTAATTGGTGTTTTTGAGTGCATATTTCCAATATAAAGCGAAACTTGGTGCTTACGAATGATACTTATTGTTATACTATATGGATAACATAGTCCATTTAAGATTGTGAATTTGATTTTTCGACTTCTTACATAGACGTTCATACAAAGTTATCAGGACAAGTATAACGATAAACGTTTCTCGTTATTCGTACTTCTATATTCGTGACAATCTAAGAATAGATTGTCACGAATATAGAAGTAGTAATAGTAAGAAATAGAAGTTTTAACTTCGTTTCATTAGGCAACACTGAATGAAATTTAAAAAAAATTATAAGAAATATGTCCGTCGTCTTGTGCATGTGTTTATTTCTTGTGATTTAATATTTTTGAGTGTTTTATCGCTATTGTTTATGTATTTGCGTCGAGTTATGTATTTGCGTCAAGAATGTGCTTTAAGGTAGACTTTGTAATTGGTGCAGTGACATAAATATAAAAAAAGAGTTATAAAATAATATGTTAATTTCAACTCTTTAATTTTTATGATGGTTTGTAGTTAGTTACTTTACATATGTGCAGACAACATGGAACTTTATAACATCTCACGTTTGTTAGAATTTTATTTTCAACATATCATTTAAAATTGTGAAATAAAAATAAAAATGTTAACAATACTAAAAATCTTTCTTTTTGTCCCGCATTTTATCGAGAGTATTTATGTAGATTTCTAAATAACAGTTTTTTTATTGTTATTTAGAAATCGACAAAATACTTAATAAAAATAACAATATTATAGTAGTATGTATACAGAACAGGTATATATAATATCTGTAGTTATGTATAGTTGCAGTAGTAGTTAATAAACTAGCTTCCAGGCGGCGCTGTTGTCGCAGCAATTTTTTACGTTAGAGATTCTTATCTATTTCAGTATATACACTCTTATCTATGGGACGAATGAAAGGAAAAGGAAAGTAAAAGTTGCTTGTTGTTTTTAAATTTGAGTTTTTGAATTTGAATTTGATTTATTTTTGGGATTTGTGTTTTACTGTGGTATATGACCGTCCAACCGTGTGATAAAATAATGGCAGGCTTTGCAGCTTTAAAAGATATTAGCAATGCTTTCGAAGAAGACTTACAACGAGATTTTTCAGAGTTATTTACTTGTGAAGTAGGAGAAAGTTTTGAAGATTGGGTCCTAAAGAAAATGCGCGTCAAATCATTATTTACATCCAAACTGAGATTGCTAAGGGCTAAAACACTAGCTTGTAAGTATAAATGTTTACGTATTTCTAAAAATAGTAGACATTTAATTTTCCGATGTTCTTTCCGTCACTATGCAAGTATCTTGTTTTCGTTCTGTACTATTGTACAATATACCAATTGTGAGAGAAATAGCTAAATTACTGATAATGGGATAAACTTTCCAATATGGACCATCGATTTAAATGCCCATATTTTTTTGTAGATAGTACTCACTAAAAGAAAGCGTTTTGCAGTTTCAATATGCGGAAACGCGTACTTTTTAGAAAAAAATTATTGAAAATCAATTATTTTTGCAATATTTATGTCAATTCCTACGGTAAAACTCACACCATTTTGTTAATGTCATTGTCATAGTCGGTAGGGATGTCAATTCTTTCCGAAAAAGATCATTCGAATCGTAAGCTGATGTATTGATTCACAAAAAAATCTATTTCTAAAATATCGATATTTTTTCATGTTTGCATTTATAATGTAAATATAAATCCTTTATATAAAAAACCAGAAAGATACCATAGTAAATAGTATTCTCTTATTGAAATTTGTTTTATTTTTATTTATTTATTTTTATTAGGGCAGATAACAAATAAAATAGGTTAGATTCATCTTATGTCAAAGAATCGAATTGATTGATCCCGACTCCACCTGGTACGAGTCTGTCCTACCCCTAGAGTGGTTATATAGAGCTGGAGGCGTGTAGGGGGAGCAGCCTCCGCCTGCTGTAACAAATCCTCGCCTCCGCAGCTTCGGCTTGTCCGATGCCTACGATTTGTTATGCAAAGGCGTAGAGGCTGCTCTTCCCGCAGCGCTGGAGACGATGCAGTCCCAAAATAGATACAGAAACCCCTTTTAATCAGTCCCCCTATTTTATGTCCGATGAAGGGGATTTTGTTCTCATAAAATGGATTTATATTTCCATTATAAATGCAAAAAATTATAGGGACAAACAAATTTATAGCCAACTAAATGGTGGTTACAGCAGTCCATGACCACCATCACTAAGATGGAATGTCTCATGCCTAATTTACGTTTTTGTGTTGCTAAGCGATTAAACTAAATTGCAACTTAATTTTAAGTGACTAAATGCATGTAAAGAATGAATTTAATAATAAATTGCAAGTTAAAAATTAGTGTGCCACTTGGACACTACAAGTAGAATAGAATGTCTCTTGATTTTTTGGTTAAGTTGGTGAACATGGCTAATTACTTGATACATTTGGACTTACACGGTTAGTTCCTTAGTACTTTGATGGATTGCTTCGCAGTCTGTAGTTATATTGGCTGTATATCCTTCAAGAATACAACAGTAAAGGCATTGCTGCGGCAGTAATAAATTAAAGGGTAAACCTACCCAGATGAAGTCCTTGGCAGGAAATGAGTCATACACCTATCAAATTTTAATTTGCCATAAAAAATTCAGTATATTCATACAAGAATATTATTGTCATTATATGATTAAAACTGTATAGCTACACCGCAAATAACTGAACAAGAGAAAGCAAATGTGATGGGAAATTATGAGGAGACAGCGATATGGACTATAATTGAACAGCAAACAGTTAAATCTGTCACACAGGCACATGCTGTTAAAAGCTTAATGACTACACAGAATAGTAACCTCAATCCTGAGATGAAAGAGAGAAAACTGTAAGTAACTTATTAAATTAGTTTCGTGATCAAAAATAAACAGTAGTCACTGAAAATGCTAGTGTGAAAAAGCAGTGTCACACTCTACCTTCTTCAGTTATTATTATTATTTTATGGTAATAGGTGAGGAGCTTATAGCTGATATGCCTATGTCTGTGTTGGTGTTTTATATTAGTCTAAGTCTCTACACATTGGAAGACGTTTTCAAACTACTGGACTGGAAAGGATATGGTATTAATATCAATGGCGAGTACATCACTCACCTTCGATTTGCTGACGATATAGTCGTTATGGCAGAATCGCTGGAGGACCTAGGCACAATGCTCAATGACCTCAATAGTGCTGCCTAACGGATAGGTCTCTCCTGTAAAACAAATATAATTTCCATGTAATTCGCGTGCCCCATAGCAAAATACCATACGACATTATGCTATAGAAATAGTTAAAGTAGACTAGTGTAGCTGTTTCCATACTGGTAAGATTTCTAATCATTTTTACAGCATATACTGCAGAACTAAGTCTGCTTGCTAGTTTTGATATATGGGGGCGCCATTGACACTTCGTGTCTAGTGTGATTTCAAAAAAAAAGTTGGTATCTAAAACACTCAGCTCCTCTCCAACTATTCGAGTTAAACCTCAAACAAGGGTTAACATTAAAATTTGTGTGCTTATCAGTGCGTAGCAAACCTGAACAGGCCAGACCTCGTAAGTAGCACCTGTCCACAAGTAAGATGCATGTGGCAGCCATCTCCTTCCTTGACCATATTAAAGGAATTTGGACGGCCCAAACAGAAACTTAAGTGACTATTTCCTTTACCTTGTCTTGCGACTTCCACTAGACTAAGTGGTGTAATGGATCCTCTTATGTTGCCACTACACAGTATGTCCAGTCTACAGTTCTGTTTCATGTTTCAGGAAAATTAAAGATCAATTAATGAAATACAGATATCTTGAAACACAGCTACGTCACCTCAATATGGTAGTGAAGGAGAAAGAAAATGAACATATGATGGCACAGGCTAAGTGGGATAGGGAGCTAGGTGCATTGAGAGATATCAAAGCCTCGGCAGATAACACGGAAGAAATTGACCCTAATGGACCATTATATCTGTAAGTGTTTCATATTTCAACCTGTATAAGTTCATAATTCATTACCGGATATGAGCTTCTTATGTTGTATGTGGGATGTGCCTTAGTGACAATACTTTTTGGATTAATGATTTCGGTAACACCCAGAGTTATAGTACCTTTGTCACTGCTGCTAATTGCCAATCTTATGGATGCCATACATGATCCAGTTTACCGTCAAGTTTGCAGCGCACTTGAAGCGGCGTCAAGTTTGTGGTGCATCTATATAGGCCACTCACGTTCAAGTTCGCCGTCAAGTTTGCATGATGTCGTTTGCATGTTGTTTGCATGACGCTGCAAGCTTGATCAAGTCTGCAGAATCGAAATTCAATTTTTGCTTCAAGTAGACTTGTTATGCACATTGATAGTCATACACCGTCCAATTTACCGGACGCCGCTTCAAGTGCGCTGCATACTGGACGGTAAACTAGATCGTGTATGGCATCCATAAGTATCTTACTGAGTAGCTGCCACTACACGTTGAACTAAGATTTTATTGAAATAGGTTGGTACTACCTATTACATGATGATACGATGGTACAATCGAACTTGATAGTAAATGGTAATGTAGCCAAAGATGGTAAAGTAAATAACTTGGTTAGACAAAAGTTTATTCTTTGTTGCCTTGAAAACACTTGTAATTTCATGAAGGGGCAACCTTCACTACCGGTTTAAAAATAACCAGATTAACAATGGGAAGCAGTGTAAAATGTGCAAGTTGCTTGAGGGACACGATAATGTCGTCAGCTACTTAGTTCGTTATGTGACCTGAATGCGCACAAGTTAAGGCCACATTCAAATCTGCTTTAGCAGTGAAAGTTTGGCAAGGTGCACATTTTTGCACTCTTCCAGCATCCTTTTGGCTGCTTTTTCCTTCTTACCAGGACTCTTGGCTGCTCACTGCTTCCTGGCGGATATTTTAGAGCTGGTCCCCGCTGCCGCGACTTCCACTTGGGCTGGATTTTTATCCTTCCCAGTTTCAGCAGCTACTGGTTCCAGTCTCAAGCACCGCAGTCACAGTAGCTTGCCCAGCCTCCTTGGTGTTGTTCTTAGAAGCAGTCACTGCCGTTATTTCTCTATGACCTGCTCCTTTTTCTTTTATTAGCCTTTACACCACTGCCTATTGGGATAGACTGACTTGATGGTCCGTCAGGTTGGAAATTCACGTTTTTGGGTGCCTTACCCTTCCCTTTACAGCTCACCACTTGCCAGGCAGCAGAGAAAAGGTTGTCCGTTCTCTGTGTGTGAGTTTTGCTTCTCGCGTTCCCTTGCTCCTTCTCGCATCCAGTTCCTCAGCTTTGGAACTGGTTATGGGAACATCCAGTGCGGAAATTGCATGGGGCCACCTACGCTGAATGGTGCAGTCCGTGGAACCGTCGGTTTAACTGCGGTTCTTCCTTGTTCATTGATGTCTCTGGTGAGCACCTCTGACACCTCTCCCTCTTTTCTGATGGGCTTTAAATTGTCCATATTATATAAGTGTTTAAAATTTGTCCCCTGGGCTTCCCAGCCTCCACGGAGCCTGCAGCTTTAGGAACGCCCTATTTAAAAATAAAAAGAATGTTTTAGGATTACCGGGGGAATATAGGGACGCGAATTTGGCACAAAGCGCGAGCTCGATCCAGCTGACAGATAAAGTTGAAAAGGCCCATCCCCACTTGCTCCGTCAGCATGGCCTTTACCACCACCTAGCCCTTTTCAGGGTACTAGCGCAGGGCTGCAGCCCCCAACTCCCTCGCTTGCGACCACCTTACGGGGCGCTTTCCCATTTCCCTATCAGTGTCTAGCAGATAGAGTCACCGTTGCCTCTCGCTACTATATACCCCAGTGACGATCGGCTCAACCCTCCAGGACTCTTTCATCCCCTCGTACGGCGCTCAACTGCGTAGTTCCTAGCGCAGGTTAGTGTGTTAGTCAACCGGATACAAATCGGGAATCTCTCCGGCGGAACCATCCCTCCTCTTTTACCCAGGCTTGGGACCAAAAAGCTGCAACAAAAAGTACAGGCAGAGTTAAAGTGTCGAAATATATCCTTGCATCATTTTTATAGCGTCCAAAGTGCGAAAGGGTGTGATGAATTCTCAATAGAACAATATCGGCCATTATTAATTACCATTTTAATTACCATCGCCAATGAGGGCTAATGATCGCTCACTAGATATCGCTAGTTGGGACTGAGGTGAAGTAAAAAAGTTGCGTTTTAATAAAGGTTCTTAAGTTTCTAATGCATAGACACATAATGCCTCAGTGGTGTGTTCGTTAATTTATTGCCATAGTTTAGTTTATCCATTTGTAATTTTATTAATCTATGCGTATTACATATATACGTGGTAGAGCCATGCTGCAGTTATATTAGTAGTATATTTTTAGCACAAATGGGTAGACTCGACTGGGGAAGGACCACGCTCACACAGAATACCAGCGTAAAATAGTAGCTTAATGCTGCTGTGTTTCGTATGGTGAGTGTAGAGAACCGGAGACCCTTTTTACTGGAAACGAGGCATTCCACCTTAGTCCTCATGGGTGACAACGCACTCGCATTTTGATTCGTAATCGAGGATAGATGTAGATGTCTATGGGCCACAGCAACCACTTACCATCAGGTGGACTGTGTGCTCGTTTGTCACCTTATCCAATAAAAAAATATAAATAAAATTAAAATGTAAAGAACAGATAGAGAGATTTAGGGAAAAACTTAAAAAAAAAAACACGAAAAATTGATAAAACATAATATGGTCTTTGATTATCTTAATTATAAATAACGTCATGTTAATAGATCTTATCCAGGCGAAACCGGGGCAGGTCGTTAGTAAAATGTAATTAATATTTCATAAATAAATATTAAATTTTACAGAAAACTGAGCACATTAGTTGACAAAATGGAACTGATGCGTTGGATGGTGTCAAAGCTTGTGACAGGTAGATCTGGAAGCTACGACTGGCTGGCTGATCCTCATAGAAGATATGGCGCTTTGAAGATATCGAGAGAAGCCAACACAGTGGAAGGGTTCACAAGAGATCATAATTGAGGCCTTGATGATTGACTGTTAATTTTAAGATGTAAATATATAATAATAATATAATAATTGTTTTATAGTATTTCAATACAATAATATGTGTCAATATTTTGTCTATTATTTAAAACGATATATGGCCGGCCCGTTGTCATTGGTTTAATTATTACCGCACAAATGATGTTTATCAAGTCTGATTACAATCACAAGTCCCCATTTCCCCGATATGATCTTAAGGTGACACTAGTCGACAATATTTCCATTGATTTCCATACAAATTTCGGAGGGGTTTTACTACGCTGTTTGACAGTGTACATCCAAAGTTAAACATGATATCGTTTTGTCTCATTATCAAATTTGTCTGTACGGAAACAGAATAGTAAAATAAAATGTTATTAAAAAGTTACGAGCTACCAAAGATTCGTTTTTATTGCCAATTTTAACACAACTTTGGGCGTAAATTAGTAATAAAAGAAGTGTGAAATTTCCAAAACAAAGTCGGTACCGACACAGCTCAATTATCGAAGAATTCAAGAAATTTTATTCGTAATTAATTTATGCAGTGGTTTTTTCATAAAACCCCTTCTTCCAAAGGCCTTTTCGTATTTTTTTACGCGCGTATGTTACTATGAATTATCGTGCATCTCACTGAATAATGTTTGCCCCGGTGCGGTGCGGGAGGACGACGCTTACACACACATGCACGGGCGGTGACGCGGGCTTATTCGAGTTTTATTCGAAACGAAAAGTTTTGCTATTTTGTAATTTGGACGCCAAAGACAAAAGACAGCATGGAAATTGATATAATTGAAAGAGATGATGCGTTTTGGACGACAGACAATTTTGTTTTTTATTTCAATTTTCGTCTGTAATATAATATAATTATAAAAGAAAAAAAATTAAGTCTATAATATACGATTACTATATAAAATTGCAACAATTTCATTGGTGCCGACGGGGATCGAACCCGGGTTGCTCGCGTAGTGTGATACTTACGGCGAACGATAACCATCTGAGCTACCACGGCTCTCAATGCAAGTGTTATAAATAAATAAAGAATTACAAAACAGTTTAATTATTTATTAGACGACTCTTGCGGCGGACAAACAAGGTATATTATGTGGGATTTTCATAGGTACCTACTGTTATTACCTAGATACCTACAACCTACAATACAACAAAATGTCACAAAACGTCACCGCGTCGTGGCCACAAAATTGTAAACTTTAGGTAGGTACGTCAGTACTAAGAAAACAATCTTGATGGGTCACTTGTCTTGATAAAAACCTGTGTTTACGTTTAGTGATATTGAGTATATATAAAAAAAAGTAAGAAGACAGGTAAGTATTTTTGAAAAAAATTTATAGGTAAGCAGAACTAATTACAATTATTATCTAAATATTATAAATGCGAAAGTTTGGATATTTGGATGGACGAATGAAAGGATGTATGTTATTCAATCACGCCAGAACCGCTGAAGGGACCTGGATGATATTTTGCTCAGAGATAGGTTATAGTCTGGAATTTTATTTTATTTTATTTTTTAAAAATACATTACCCCCGCACTAGCATTTTCTCCTGTATAGTGGAAGCAGTTTACAAACATCCAGACCCGGAACAACTATTTGTAGGCCATACAAATTTTTTTTTTCTTATTTAAAAAACGTTACACCCACACTAGGAGTTTCTCCTGTATCGTGGAGGCAGTTTACAAACATAAATTGCACAAGGACAAACATCCAGACCCGGAAGAATTATTTGTAGGCCATACAAATACTTGTTCCGTGCGGGATTCGAACCCGCGGCTCCCAGTAATATAAAATATTTCGTTCCCGTGGGATAATTTTTGCAGTTACACACGTTCGAAGCCGAACTCTTGAGTGATCGCTGCATAACCACTCGGAAAAACTAAACATAATAAAATAAGCAATCTATATTAGGTATATAGAGCCACAGAGGTATAATATGAAGCGATAAAGCAGCGCCTAATCATTTCGCGGTTTCACCCGCGTCATCATGTGTCCGAGATGCATGGCATGACATGACACCTAGTTTTATAATTGCAATCAAATATTTTATTTGATAATAATGTATGGAAAAATTGTCATAATTAATGAAGTACTTTTATTTTATCTGTCGGCATACTATGCGCGGTTTTATTCAGTTTTAAAGAAAAACGTACACGATACATGAAAAGTGTGTAGGCAAGAAATGATTCTTGATACATTTGCTATCAACCTCTTATACTCTTATACGGCTCCGTGGCGCAGTGTCTTAGCAATGAGTTGCTGAGCAGGGGGCCGCGGGTTCGAATCCCGCACGGATCAAGTATTTGTATTTGTATGGCCTACAAATAATTGTTCCGGGTCTGGATGTTTGTCCTTGTGCAATTTGTGTTTGTAAACTGCCTCCACGATACACGAGAAAATCCTAGTGTGGGGGTAACGTCTTTTTTTTAAAGAAATAAATAAAATAAAAACTTATTAATCAATTAAACTTTCAAAATACCATAGCAACGTGAAATGAAAGAGTTCAGAATTAACTAATCATTGTTACGCTCACCTGGGAGATAGATAAAAGCACTCAATTAATTTTGAATTTATTTTAGCTACCAGCTGTTCCCCGCGACTTCGTCCGCATTTAGTTTAGGGTGTTAATTTTGTTGCACGGACGCCTAATAATTTTTCTAAAATTTAAGCATTCTAAGTTACTACTTATAACATGAGCTATCTACTAGTGAAAGTCCCGTCAAAATCGGTCCAGCCGTTTTGGAAATTAACCGGAACAAACAGACAGACAGACAGAAAAATGTTAAAAATTGTGTTATAAGTAGCGTATATAATTTCATATGCAATTAGTAAAAAGCTGTTATTTTGACATTATAACAGACACTTCAATTTTATTTATTTGTGTAGATATAGATAATGATTGAACTAACGGCTAACCTAACCTCGCTCATAGAAGCTTTCAATACTGGCTTCTCAGTTCGCACCGGGCTAGGGGTTATGCGTTGTTTGCGCGTCAAGGCCAAGTATTGAATTATTTTAATTTTACATTATCTCAACTATGTACTATATAAACATGGCATAAACAACGAAGTTTATCTTCAAAAAATTGTCTTGATAATGAAGTAACCTTCGTTCGTAAGGATAAATATGCCATGCCTAATAATTAAATTTTCATTTTTTTTTTGTCAAAATAAAAATGCCTAATTGTGGCTTATACGAGTATATAAAAAATAGACATATGGTATCGCGGACTTTTTTTTAGACGGAGTAAAGATCTATATTTTCTGCTTTATTATATTAGTATAAATGTTGCATCGTGTTCGTGTAACTTCGTTTTTGTTCAAACGGTTCTGAATGCCGTACGAACAAGACGTGCGTGAATACTAGTGTCGATATGCTCATCACTGATACTATCTCTGTCGGGCACGATGCCAGGTGAGACAGCGTGCTTTTTGGCCGCGCCCACCAGCGAGTTCGAGCCCGCGACTTGTGCCACCTTAAGGCATTTATCTGGCTGCGAAAGCCAATAATCCTTCATATAATATCTCTTTAGAGGCGATGTTGTATGCAGCCAATAGATCCTGGTTGTGGCCGGACATGCACGATTTCATAGCAACTACTAGACATAGTGTTGGCAGGCGGAAAAATATTTTTCTAGTATTGCCAGACGTAAAAATATTTTTTCCCTACTAAAAACGACTTGTGACATATCGCGAAATTTTTCTGTTGCACTGTATCCTAGCGTAATTCTAATCTTATTGAAAGATAACATAGGCGTCCCTTTGAATACCGCTCATTAGCCAGTTTGCTCGTTCACACCATTCTTTGGTCTTGAAAAGAAAAGAACGGATTATTACTTAATATTTACACGAATTTAACACATTTATAAAAAACAAATTTTACGGATTCTATCGCGTTTAATATGACAATTGGTTCCGTAAAGCACACGTAACGTCGGGAATTAAAATAAGGAAAGGAATGAAATTTTAAAAAAGTTCCTTTTCCTTGACAGTGGAACTAGGAAATGAACGTTTGACAAACAAAATTCAAATCTCAGAGATTTTCTTCTCATTATGGTTTCCTATTCAACATCCCGGATATGATAGAAAACATTGAACTTTTTAGGGTTTCGTAGTTAAACAAAATGGGACCCTTATAGTTTTGCCATGTTCTTCCATCCATCCCTCTATCCGGAGATCCTAGGTGCTACAGAGCTGTAATTTGGCACAGCTATTGATATTAATCACTCCTACAAAGTTGTGAAATAAATTTAAAAAAACCACTTGTATTTTGAGTACTTCCCATAGAGGTGTTTTTTTTTTTACCCGACTATTCCATCGCGTCGGGAGTCGTTGGATAAGACTAAAAATTTGAGAATATAGAACTATATTTTTTCGATTGAGGAGCCTGTTTGCGAAATATTTAGTTATAAAGCGATATTTTTTATTATAGTTCTGTGTCCCCACTTACCAACTAAACCGTTGTTTCTGGAAACGTGAATAGTAGTATAGTCCCAGCTAATTTTAGGCTTGACAATTTAACGAGTGATAGTTGACCAACTTTAAATACAAAATGCACATGGATTAGTAAAAAATTCGTTATAATTATATAGAAATTGGTCTAAAACTAGCTGCATTATAACTTTGTAATTGTAAACTGTAAAAAATAAACATTTTATGAAGAATACGAGTTATGCATTACTAATATAGTTTTACGTTTTCCATTGCGGGGTAGGTAGGTTGTCAAACGAGCACACAGTCCACCTGATGGTAAGTGGTTGCTGTGGCCCACAGACATCTACATTTATCCTCGTTTGCGAATCAAAATGCAGATGCGTTGTCACCCGTGAGGACTAAGATAGAATGCCTCGTTTCCAGTAAAAAGGGTCTCCGGTTCTCTACACTCACCATACGAAACACAGCCGTGTTAAGCTGCAATTTTACGCTGGTATTCTGTGAGAGCGTGGTCCTTCCCCGGTCGAGCCGCGCCATTCGTGCTACAACTATACTACTAATATAGCTGCAGCATAGCTCTACCACGTATAAGCACGTCTGTCTTCTAGACCATCGATATCCGCAATCCGATTGCAACCGCAGTTTTTTATAATTTTGAGTTGGTACCGGGAAGATGCTCCTGCCCATCTTCTACCTCAGTTTCCCTCTGTCGCCTCTTACTACACCCACGGGATGATATGGCGTAGTGGATATTTTTACACCACCTTTCACGGTTTATTATACAGGCTGTTGGAATAGTTTTACGTTTGATCCTTTGCCTTTTTTTTTTGAATTTTTGAGGTTTGTATTGTGTTCGCGCCAAACGCTGGTTTCGGAATCGACGTTGGAGGGCGCGCGGCTCGGTGCCATACTGGTTTGACGCGGTCGAGCGGTGGGTGTTGAGAACGCGTAAAGGTGCAAGTCAGTCGTCTGTCAGCGGGACTAACTCTAGCATACTGTCATTTTTGTTCGGGAACCGCGGAATAGTTTAGACGTCTAGTAAACATCCGGTCTAGGATTTATAACGCGAATTCCTTGTTGGATAGCCTTTCCCGGGACTTATTGGGTCCGACTCAGAATCTGTATAAGTGCATTCGACAATATTAGCTAGTGCGGCCTTTGATATTCTAGAAATAACTGTTGCTATGCGAAACGGTAGTGACCTTTGACCTCCGTGTTCGTTTTGTACGTTAACCTTATAACAAACAAGAGAGTTAGTGGCTTCTGTAAGTTAATTAATCGTACGATAGAGTTAATGGACTGTCATCGTGACGAACGAGGAAAGTGACTGTGGACAACGCCGCGGAAGGTTCCCTCAATTTGGAGCGGTGGCGACGCCCGGGCTGCTGCCGACGGCCAAGGTCTAGGGTCAATCACCATCAGTCACACCCAGATACACATCACATCACCTTATTTCCCTTACACTACACAACCACATGCGACCTGACCGATTCCGGTGGGACCAGTCGCCTTGGATATAGGTAAGTAAGCTCCGTCTAATATCCTCCCGGTCGACTGGCCGTAGTATAGAACGCTCCCCCATATAGTTTAGTGTAATTAGAGATATTCCACGTGGCCATATTGAGGCCCGACCTACGTCTGCTCGTGAAGTCTTCTGCTCATGGGCCCCAGAGGATTTGACCCTTTAAGGGAGCAGCCGTAGGCCGTACCAGTATTGTATTGTGTGTATTGTATAGTTATTCACTTACGCGAGAAAATATCTTTGTATTAAATTTTTTTTAAAGAATAAGGATGACAAACCAGCTAAGTGGCCCGTACCATCAGGTGGACTATATCCTGATGACCTGATGGTAAGTGACCCGAAGACACCTACATCTATCTTCGATTAAAAACGAAAATGCGGTTACGTTGTCAACCCTGAGGACTACTCTCGCCATATAAAACACAACAGCATTAAGCTGCTATATAACGCTGGTTTTCTGTGAGAATGTGGTTCTTCAACGGTCGAGCCGACCCATTCGTGCTACAACCATAATATAGCTGCAGCGTGACTATCACGTAAATAATCATCGGAATAACTGCAGCGTGGCTCTATCAGGCTGAGTGATAAATATTAGAGATATCAATTTCATCATTAAACTGTGCTACTTACCTTGCACGCAGTAAAAGGCTTAGATGTTAAATGGGAGCTTTTATATTTGTGTAATTGGATGGATTACTTTCATCATTTTCAATATAAACCCATATTTTGGATGAACATCTACCGAGTAGTAGGCTGCCCTTTGAACTAACAGTGGTAGAGCCACGCGGCGGCTTTTGCTGTCGCACGGATGGGCCGGCTCGAACCGGGGTGGTACCACGACCTCACAGAATACCAACGTGAAGTAGAGGTTTACCTCTGCGTTTCGCTTGGTGAGTGCAGGTAGCCGGAAGCCCTTTTTACTGGAAATGAGGCATTCCATCTTAGTCCTCACGGGTGACAACGCATCTGCATTTTGATTCGCAAACGAGGATAGATGTAGATGTCTATGGGCCGCAGCAACCACTTACCATCAGGTGGACTGTGTGCTCGTTTGTCACCCTTATCTTATAAAAAAAAAACTCTGCCCACTCCGTCAAGGATTTTGGGCGTGACGCTATATAGGTATGTATTATCAATAAAACAAGCAAAACTCATTAATAAATAGTTTAATATCGTTAATTAGCGCGGGAAACGTTGGAAGTCACTATCGCAAACTGTGTCGGCGATCACGTCCTTTACGTTCCCCCTGAAAAATTAGAAAGCAAATTTGTAAAAAAAAAAACATTCTAAAAAGTAGAAAACCGTCTTCAAAAACTACCAAGCTTAATGATTAAATACTGTTTTTAAAAACGCAATTACGTAAAATATTTACTATAGTACGTGAGGGTAATATGGTTATCTGGTTAATATGGTCACTTTCTTGTAACTCTAAAATTACAGCCTTGTTAGCATAGATGGCTTTGTGATACGATAGCTCTTCATCAGTCAATCTGTTGATTCAACTTGTTGGTTGCTAGGACGCTCGACACGACACTCATGTTGAAAGTTGACGCATAACTTGCCTCCTCACCGCGCAATTTGTCAAATCAACAGATTGAATACCAAATTGCATCGTTAGTAGAACATCTAAAAGGGCGCTGCTTTATCGACGCCATTTTGACAGTTGACATTATTATAAATATTTTAGCCTATATCTAGTATACAGTAGTAAGTTTGGCGCCCCCTTTTCCCTAAAGGGAGTCGCTTCTGATTCGGCAGAAAGGCCATACAGGCCAAAGCCAGTTCCACAGGTGGTGTTTAGTGGGTAGGCACTTCTCAGTAAGTCCCACATAACCACGCAGCCGGCTGCATGGTATGCTATGAGCATTCACCACCTCTCTCCCCCGCTTCCGGAGGGTAGCCTTGCATTAGGCGCAAAAAAAGTAGTAAGTTTTATTTAAGTCGATTTTTTTGAAGTGTTCCAAATTATTGCCAAAGCTGGTTTACTATTTTTTTAACATATTGTACACGACTTTGTGTTTTGTCTCTGTCCTCCTAGTTTTAGGTTTTATAGGGCGACAAATCTAAGGTACCATATTACCCTCACGTACCTTAATAAGACCTATTATACGATTACATAAGAGATTTGTCACTGCTTATATACCTACCTAAGTATTGAAAATTTAAGTAACAGTTATATTGCTAAGGAACCTTAAACACGTTATAGATCATGAATGGTCATTCAAAATGATTACAGAAACATAAAGGTGATTTTCAAAGACCCATTCATTGAATGATGTGCCACTTGATTCGTCAACTTTTATGGTTTTATTTTTCACAATATGGCGCCTGGTTGCGCCATATTGAATTTGATTACTGTCATGTCATTATATACTGCTGGCCGAATGAGGATGCTCGAGGTCGCTCAGCGAGCTATGGAGAGGGCTATGCTCGGGGTTTCTCTGCGTGATAAATTATTATTTATATAAAATATTCGCAGTAGAACTAGAGTGACCGACAGCCCAACGGATTGGTAAGCTGAAGTGGCAATGGTCCGTCCATATAGCTCGAAGAACCGATGGGGAAAAAGGTTCTCGAGTGGCAGCCTTGCACCGGTAGGCGAAGTGTAGGGTGTCCCACCATTAAATGGAGTGATGACCTGGTATGACATGCAGGAAGTCGATGGATGCAGGTGGCTCGGGATCGTGCTTTGTGGCATTCCTTGGGGGAGGCCTATCCTAGGTTCAGCAGTAGACTTGTGGAGGGCTGTAATGATGAATGATGGGTGATGATGTCATTATAGTAGCGACTCTCACAAGATTTAAGACTCGATTGACGTAAGAATCATCACAGTCGGTCTACACGTTTGATCTCTAGTGCGCCGCAAACATCGATCACTAAGGAAAATATTAGTGGACGATGACTGCGCGAATAATTTCCACATAATAGCTTCTGAAGTCTGCTTTTACTTTTTTGACTCCTTCGCGTGGACTGAGGAACATCACAAGTTCAAGGTAACAACTAAAATGTGATTTATATTTTTTATATGAGCGGGGGCAAACGAGTATACGGCTCACCTAATGTTAAGTGACTACCGCCGCCCATAAACAACTGCAACACCAGGGGAATTGCAGAAGCGTTGTCGGCCTTTTAAAAAGAGTGGGCTCTTTTCTTGAAGGTCTCTAAGTCGTATCGGCCCGGAAAAATCGCTGGTGGCAGTCGATGTCACAAGGAAGTTGTGCGAGGAAGAAAACTTCTTGTAAATCGCAAACCGGTGAACCGCCAATCATCCAGATGATATGGATGGTATCGTGAGTTTTGTCGAGACAAAACTCGATTATATAGTTACATTAAAAACTTCACCCTTATCTTTCTACCAATAGGGGTGGGATTTTCCTCTAAATTCATATGAACCCATCTGAAGTATTGTTTGTTTCATATTACTTTATGCTAATCAGTTTAGATTTACCTGTATATATAGAAGTTGTACTCGTTTGTATCGAGCCTCGCGTATCCGAACCTTGGCAGGGTGTTCGCCATTACCCAAACTTCGTCACCAGTTACGTGAAGATCTGGAAAACGTAGGTTAAGAATTTGCCTTAGTTCTTCATATTCTAAAAGGATATAGGACAACCGTTGTGTGATGAACGGTGTAAGAAAATTCACATCCCATATCTAGTGCGTGTCGAACGCTATAGGCAGAAGCAAGTACTTATGTCCAGTAGGGCAGTGTGGCCATCTCTTATAAATAAAGTTATGCCAGGAGTGATCTGGGCTATATTTTATCCGAAAAACATTGAGATTTAAAAAAATATCGAAATACTGTAGAACGCCGATTATCCGAATTAATTGGGACCTGGGCCGATTCGGATAGTCGGACATAGACTGGTATGTAATAAAGAAAAACGAACTGTCACACATAGAATAAAGTTTATTAAGTTTATAAATGGTTTCACACTTTATAAAGTGTAAAACCAGCTACACCCATTTTTCATTGAACATTCGCGCCTTTTCACATAAAATCTATCCTGAAATCGGTTGTCCAATAGTTGTAATATCAGTTAACCAAGTACTGTAAGTAAGTAACATTACTTACAGACTGATTCTGGCGCTTAGGTTAATCGGCGTTCGGATAATCGGCGTTCTACTGTATTGGTAAAATAAATGGTATTTGATGGTTATCTTAAATCTAATTAAAGTCACATTAAGAAGTTGTGGCTGGTCGTTAATTATTATTATTACTTATTATTGAAATTCGTTTTGGATGGCGTAGTGGTAGACTCCATTACCAATTACTGCCTCAAAGATCTCGTAAGAGACCTATGCCTCCCCATAGGTTGCATCATAGGGGGGAAATCTACCATAGTTGCCACCACGGAGCAAATACAAAGAGGAGACGGCCTAAGCAACTGTACACTGTGATTCTAACTAGGTCCTGACGTCATCACAGTGGGCGTGGCTTTAGTTAGTATAGTGTCGGCGTTCGTCCTGCGCATTTTCGTAGTATTAAGAAGAAAAGTATGAAGCGTTGCGTTTTATCGTGTAAAAACTACTCAAATAGACGCTGATGCTATGGATGGCATCATATTTAATTTGTAAGTAATATTATGTTTAATTATAAAAAAAATCTCTGCGTCGGCTTTCAAATATAGTTAAATATATTCGGCACTAGATGGCGACAGTTTGTGTCATGGGAACTATTAATATAAAGGTACGTAGAGCTCAGTATTGGTAAAATAATCATAAGAAGGTGCTGAAATTTGTTTTGCATTCAGTCCTATAGAATTTTTAATCGCCAAAATATTATTTTTATAGTTTTTATAATAATTTTTTGAACAGGCCGCCATCTGTCGTCAAGGTAGTTAAACTACATTGCAACGTCGATATGGAACGATGCGAGTAGTTTTACTATTTATCGGTAGATGGGAAACAGTTAAGTGGGTGGGGCTTAACACCCCCTCACTCCGCAAATTGCCATGCGTTGTTACATAGTGAAATCCAATTATAACATCTCCTCTTTGTATTTGTTCCGTGGTTGCCATGCTTAGCAGGCGTTAGATAATACACTATATAGCAGGCGTGTCGGCTCCTCGTTTGCATCCCTCTGTCGCTTCTTACGACACACACGGGTCTTTTTAGGGTTTGGATATTTTTACACCTACCTATGGTACAGACTGGTTTTAAACATTAGTAAAGAAAAATAAGATATCTACTACATATACTTCATTTTTGTTGTTGACTTCCTACAATTGTTATAGGTGATAGATATATACAACGTGTTTTTCTTCATATTATTTTTTCATCCGTTTTATTTCTTATTAATTTATTTTATTTATCAGTTTCTGAGCTATGTTCAAAATTTCAAGTCTCTAGCTCAGGTAAGTTAGTTTAAAATCAATTACTAAATTCGACTCTAACAGACATACACGAAATCGAGTTAATGAAAACTATTGTTGCGCGACACTATTAATGTCTCTTGTACATGGCAACACTAGTTCCAACAAGCGCCCTCTAGGGCCGAGTAGCAGAACTAGGAGAGTCAAAATCCTTCTAGAAATTTCGGGACCGATATGTACTCCAACATTCTAGATTTCGCTATATTTGAAGGTTCTGGAAACTATCTGAGGTCCTATATAAGGCCGGTATAGACCACGATCGAGGCAGTATGGAATTGGCGATACAAGAGAATACTTCGAAGCGAAACAACTGCGACTATTTGTATTGTAATTAGTGTTGTGTAAGTAATTAAAGTGTCAATTTTGGTAATTCAATCGGCAGTTCTTAATTGTCTCGAACCCCAAGCTCGTAACACTATTATAATCCGGAATAAAACCACAAATCCTGTTACTGTCATGTGATCTAGCATTAACTAAATACCTGAAGGATAGCTCATCCTCTGTCTATCCTGAGCCAGTATGGCGATGTTGCTTGGCGTGAGCGCTCTCGCAGTGTGCCAGCATGACACAGCGTCCCTGCCGATCTCCGCGAAGAACACCACTCGTGAGCCCATGTGGTAATCATGCATGGTGCACTGACTGCCCTCCCCACGGTCACCCACTTTCTAGAACAGAAACGTCATAAAGGAATGAATGCGAGCGAACAGTGTAGTGGTGATGTAAGAATATCCGCTACCACTTATCGTACAGTGGGTGTCGGAAGAGGCGACAGTGGGGAACAAACTAGGAGATGGGCAGCAGCGTCTTCCTAATAACGAGAAAATACTGCGTCTTGAAGTCTTGCAGTGGTAAGCCTTTCTTCATCAGAGGACTTTGATAGGCTGTGACGGATGTATGGAAGGTGCGAAAAGACATTTAAAGACTAGGCCTTGAATATATTTTTTTTTTATACTGTGTTGCAGTCTGAATTAGGCCAGTGGGCGTGGCTTTAACGTTAATATTCTGTCAGCGTTCGCCTTGTGCGCTTATGTGTCGAAAATCGCAAATCGGTGTATTTTACGTAGTATTAAGAAGAAATGGAAGAAGTGTTGTCTTTTATCGTGTAAAAATTACTCATATAGACGCTCTGATGCTATGGTTGGCATCACATTTCATTTGTAAGTAATTTATACGTAATTTATTAAAATAGTTCTAGAAAAATCTCTGCATCGGCTTTGAAATATAATTAAATATATTCGACAATAGATGGCGACACTTTGTGTCATGGGAACTAAAAATATAAAGGTACGTAGAGTTCAGTATTGGTAAAATAATCATACGAAGGTGCTGAAATTTGTTTTGCATTAAATGCTAAAGAATTTTTAATCCCCAAAATATTATCTTAACAGTTTTTATAATCATTATGTGAACAGGCCGGCATCTATCGTCAAGGTAGCTAAACTACATTACAACATCGATATGGAACGATGCGAGTAGTTTTACTATTTACCGGTAGATGGAAATAGTTAAGTGGGCGGGGCTTAATAGCTCCTTACCGCGCAAACTGCCACGCGTTGTTACATAGTGAAATATAATTACAACACTTTTTTGTATTTGCTTCATGCTCTAAACTCACTATACGAAACACTACGTGACCCATTTGTTTTACAACCATAATTTAGCTACAGCTTGGCTCTAGTTTAACGTATTTATAACATACTACTCATATGTAAAGTTCATCTTTCTGCACTCTATACAAAGTGTAACTACGGCAATCCCACATTCCTCCGTGCGCGCAAAATGCTTAAAAAGGGATACAAAATGTTTCCTTCATTTATTAATATATTATGGAGGAGGTTCAAACGATTTTACTTGCTTGATCTTGCCGACTTACCGAGAACATAGAAAAGAATCTGCTATCCTGGCTGGCGGTTTTATTCCGCAGCACGCAGGTGGAGACGGAGAACTCTTCAAAGCTGATCAGAGGATGGAAGTAAGCAGCTCTGCAGCCATCAAGTCCTGGCTCGGTCAGGGTTATACTGAATATTCCGTCGCCCCATTGGAAATATTGTCCTGCAAAGACATTAAAGCGGCATTTAACTCGTCAAATATTGTTATTATAACAGGGACGTAGTAGCTCAGGGGCAAAGTGCTCGTTATAAATTTCACAGTACACGAGCAACCCGAGTTCTAGTTTGTTGTCCAAATACACTTTCTTTTTTTCTTTAAGTAGGTAGCAATAACGGATTACAAGAAACGCAGCGCACACTACCTCCACGTCCGCCATTTTGACTACAACTACTGGAGCACAGTCAGTGATTTCGTCGCGAAGATTCAGGTGTCATGAGCATTTGCTCAAAACACACATTCTCAATGCGCATATTCAAATCGAGCAAATGCTCAAGTTAGTCGCCACCTTAAGAATAATGAGAGGTAAGCGATAATCGCATCCAGACCAGTTTCAATAAATTTATTTATAGATTAGTACTTCAACCAAAAACCTTTTTGTATTTTTATATCTTTGATAGATGTCACTATAATCTATTTAAATTATTACACTATTAAAATGAAATAACGACAAAACTAAAAAAATAGACGTTAGAATTTTTAAATTATATTATAAAAATATTATAATTTTAACATATAAATGAATGTTTATTTATATTTAATTTATTAGTAAGCATAGACTTGTAGTAACTGATGGCAAAATATAACATTTTTGCATTTTATATAGATGGCGCTGTTTTGAAATTGTAAAACGTACATCATCGGCGTAGTATCAAATTATTACAAACAACAGTTAAAACTTATTTTAAACTTTATTATTAAATACGATATTTATCTGAAAATAAAAACACTACGTAATACCGCTTTTAACTAACAGAATCATCATTTATAATATAAATTTAATATCGAAAGGAAGGAAAGAAAAATACTTAACCCTCCTTCGGATCCTTAAAGTTTCGTAATCGGATAAAAAGTAGCCTATAAGTTGCCCCGGGTAGCTAAATACCAACATACAAAATTTCATGGAAATTAGTCTGGTCTGATAGTTTTTGCGTGAATCGTGAATGCACAGACGTGCAGACGTACAAAGACTATATATACCATTTTTATTTAGTCCTATGGAATTGTTTTTTCCAGGAATTATTAAAATTATATATATACGACTTTTCTACAGATCTATTATATTATGTATCTATATGACAAAAAAATTTTTTATTGAAGTGATAAAAGAGCACATAGTCCACATGATGTTAGATTTATCCATAATGCCCTACGAAATAAGCTGCTATTTTACGCTGGTATTCTGTAAGAGCGAGTTCCTTCCCCAGTCGAGCCGACATATTCGTACTGCAGCGATACTCCACTACGTAAAGTGAATATACATATTCTTTGTCTATAGCAACACTTACCATCAGGTGGGATCAACCATTGGCTTATAATGGATAAAAATGATTTAAATAAAAATAAATACTAATAAAATTAGTTCCCAACTCATCTAACTCGAATGAATGACTTACCAGCTACCCTCAAGTTTCCGGCGGTAGGAGAGAGATGGAAGTAGTTGTGAGAGAGACGCCAGCTGTCATTCTCTCGCAAGGAATACACGATGAGGCCGAAGGTTGTGAGGTCTGGGACGTAAGCGTATGCATTTCTACAGTCGCCAACGATGTCTATCGTTATTGAGGCTAGACCTGTGTTAAAATATTGTATTCATCATTCTCTAGAAAGATATTTTTTATTTTTTACATACATAAACTGTCTTGCCCAAAGTGTATAGGGAGAGAAGATCTGACTTTCATTTAGCATGACCCTTGGCCATATCTCCCGTTTCCTTCACATCCATATACCTACAAATATATGATCATGTAGTTTTGAGGATGTTACATTGCAGTCTATAAAAGTCCACTGCTGAACATAGGCCTCCCCCACAGATTGCTTAATAGAGACAATAGTCTAATTTTGCTATAGTTGCCACACTTGGCAGACGGGTAGGAAACCACAGTTTTTTATTATTTTTAATTGTTATCGGGAAGACGCTGCTGCCCATCACCTGTTTCAGTTCCTCTCTGTCGTCTCTTACGACACCCACCGGTCGATATGAGTTAGTGGTTATTCTTACACCGCCATTACACTTAAATTAAAAGTATACTTAAATAACAATAGAACCCTAAAAAAAAAAAAGACGCAAAATTCATTGTGTTATATGTACTACGTACTAGAGAAGCCATTCCAAACAAAAATTGTGTCCTACTCTATGTCTTCGCGCATGCGCGGAAGTAATAGTCGCGCATGCGCGAAGACTTTATTTAATATAAAATAAGATATTAATATAAAATAAATATAAGAATTTAATATAAAATATCTTATTTTAATCTAAACAAACATATTTCTAAATAAAATGTAATTATAATTATTATCTTATGGAATTCACAAATCTTCAATTTACGCAATATTTAGTTTGTACGGATTGCAGTACAGTTAAGTTGAACATAGTCAATGTTCGGAATGCGAAATCTAGTGCGTAGTTCATATATATATAGATGGCAAAATTAAAAAAAAAAATTAAAATTACTAACCAGTAGGGGTGTTGGCAGCTATAATGTCGGAGCTCTTGAACGTATACCTCATGATTTGTTGGTTTGTAGCAAGATCGTAGATCACAATGCCCGGTGCTTGAACTTGGCGAGGAGCCCCTGGTGAAAATTTTTGGATTTTTAGAAGGTAGCGATTACTTTAAGATAGTTGTTTCCGATCGGCTTGACTCACTGGCACTGCGTAGAGATATTGCATCTCTTTGTGTATTTTATCGCATCTACCACGGGGAGTGCTCTGGGGAATTGTTCGTACTAAATCCAGCCGCTCAATTTCACCATCGCACATTGCGATAAAACTCGCGATACTATCCATACCATCTGGATGATTGGCGGTACAGCACTGTGTGATTTAGAAGAAGGTTTCTTCCTCGCACAACTTCCTTGTGGAATCGATTACCACCAGCGATTTTTCCGAACCGATACGACTTAGGTACCTTCAAGAAAAGAGCCTACTCCTTTTCAAAAGGCCGGCAATGCATCTGCGATTCCCCTGGTGTTGCAGTTGTTCATGGGCGGCGGTAGTCACTTACCATCAGGTGAGCCGCATGCTCGTTTGCTCCCTTCGGACTTCGGGAATACTAAAATCGACTACTTATTTACTATAATATCAACTGTCCAAATGGTGTCGATAAAGCGGCGCCCTTTTGAACCTTTATTATTTGAATGACTGATGAAGAGCTATCGTATCACAGAGCCATCTATGCAAACAAAGCTGTAGTTTTAAGTTACAAGAAAGTGGCCATATTAACTGGATTACCATATTACCCTCATGTACTCACGAGATTGAGAGACACTAGATTCGGTAGTAGCAGTAGGGGCCTTGTTGAAGAGATAGCGTAGCTTATTGTTCAAAAAGTGCCTTGTAAAGACAAAGGAGACAATCGTTTTTGGGCCCACTAAAAATTGTAACGTAACTTAATTTTATTACACATGAAAAAGATACCAATTTATTATAGTAAACCGTAGTATATAAAAATATAACCGGAATCATTAAATCAGAAAAAAAAAGTTGTTTTGATATTCGTCTTTTGGCTAATGTAAAGAAAAAAAAACACGGGTAGCGAACAGTGTTTGAAACTCCTCAATAGCTTGCTTTTACAAAAGTTGAAGCATGAAAAACATTTTTCATGTGATTCAACTTTTGTCAAATGCTATTTTAATTATCTTATGTCAAAAAATTTCTTACCAGGAATTTCAAGTAAGCCAGTGTCCACCATCCAAAGTCTCCCGCATTCATCAGCTCGAGTCCTATAAACGGATGTGAGGCTCCTAGCCTGCCTCAGATTAGGGTACGGTCGAAGAGATGGGGAGCGAGTGTGTGAATCCCTTTTCAGGTCAATGTAGTTGAGCGTCGCAGGTATACCTGGAAATGCAGAGAAAATTATGTCGTAACAGTTTACTTTGGTAAATTACTAAAAGATCTTGGAAATATTCTTGGTAATTATCTATATAATAAAGATAACGCTAGAATTGTTTCGACTCAATAGAAGTACTTGCAAATTCACCCAATGGCATAGAATTATTACGTAAATTCTATGCCCAATGGACATGACACCACTCACACACACACGCTTGCACTCACGCACTCACGCACTGACGCTCGCACATACGATGATGCCTCACATTTGTTAATAATACAAATTGCATGGCTAAGTTAATAGTATCCTGAGGGGGAGACAGGCTTCCACCAGGTACCTAAACTTAGCCCCACTTGGATATGATTTCTTTGATTTTTGAGTTATTTTATTTTTAATTAATTGTTAGTTCGAACATAAAATTTGTTTAATTATAAATAATTAATTTTTTTAATATTAATTAAACAAATTCCATCCTTAGGTTGGTTTCCCTTATTGTAAATTTTAACTTTTGCCCCTTAAATTAATTAATTTTTACTAAATATCGTTTGTTCGATCGCTCTTGATGATTGTTGGATCATAAATACAACTTAATAATTATTAGTGATAATAATAAATAGTTAGTGACAAGGGAAGCCCTATACGGAAGTTTATCGACCAAATTGGTGATATATTAAAGATGGGTCAAATTAAGAGTAGGTACCCTTAACCGACGAGCATGTGCGCGTAGATATATGAACGTGAACTTGGAGTATACACAAACATAACTTGCTTGTAAACTCTAAGGATGTGAAGGAAGCGAGAGAGGTGTGTCAGAATGGTACCAAATGGAAGTCCGTAGTCTCCACCTACCCCTCTGGGTGACGGGCATGAGAGTTTATGTTATATTATGTTACACTTTTGTTATATTTCTATGTTATATGATGTTAAACTAGTTTTTTCTAACTTTTTTTAGTTTATTAACCTTTACTATTTGAGTGGACTAAATTATAACACAAGTTCAAGGTGATACCCTATTTTATCATATTATCGAGTAAAAGGTTTTAAGAAGCGAAAGAGGTGTCAGGATCATGCAATAGTATAGTAGCGGCACGAAAGTCTAGCGGTGACGGTTATGGCGCATAACTTACGCTGATTGGCTCGTGCGTATTGTTCGCACGCGCTGATTGGCTCGTGCAGTGGCATTCGTGCCATTCAATTCGTGCGCGTCCCCTCCACGTTTCGTTCAGCGCTAGACTTACGTGCCGCGACTTGTATCTGCCTACACTTCTGGGTAACAGGTGTGAGAGTTTATGTATGTATTCTAAAACTAGGGTCGTTGGTCGTTAAGATGTTTGTCAGATTTAGTAGTTCATACCATAACGTCTCCTCGGAATGGAGACAAACAATATGTCACCGACTTTTTCCATGCCCATAGGTACATTGTTGTATTGTATGAAGAACCTTCCAGCTTCATCTGAAATTGTTAAACATTAAAATTATTTATGCTATATGGTTGCATGACTACCTTTTTGGTCTAGTGGTTAAACGCGGTTGCTGATCACTGTCCCGGGTTTCAATCCCGGGTCGGGTCCGTTTTTGAGTTATTGGGTCCTTCTGTCAAGATATTCTCAGTAGCTCAGTAGCCCGAAGTTAAGAAATTGGCGGTGTTTCACCTCCGTGTCCCGGAAAGCACGTAAAGCCGTTGGTCGTGCGCCTGATCTCTCTCCGGTCGTGTCGGCTTACTGTGCCATCGGTCTACGAGAGTGAAGGAATAGAGTGCACCTGCGCTTGCGCATACACTGGGGCACTATAATCCTGTTTTGCGCAGATGGCTAGTCTCCGTTGAGACCGGCCGCCGTGATATAAATTCGGTCTGGAGGACATTATTATTATTATGGTATGGGTTGCATGAATATGTTGCCTGTATAAGGAATTGCCTGCATAAAATCGAAGTCTAAGTCTAAACTTTTTTATTTCATTTACGTTCGCAAAACATGATCTCAAAGTGGAACCGGCAAGAAACTTTGGGGTCTCTTTTTTAAATGCCATGTTACCAGAATAATTTACAATATAATTTACAAAATAGTATGTTATATTTTAAAATCAATACAAGGTCAAATATCCATTAACATATTTTTCACGCGCTTTTTTTTTAGCTTCGCGTGTATCTATCTATCTATGTAACGGAATATGTTAATGTAATGTTCACCAACTTGTAGACGGCCGAATGACTTGAAATTTTGTACAATAATGTAATAGCTTTATCCTAGTATCCTGGTCAGGGTCACCAGGATCATCATAGCTCTTGATCAATGCGTGTCAAGTTTCTTTCAACTCTTATATTATTATTATAAATGTCAGTTTTAACAATATATCCACGTGGTAGAGCTATGCTATAGTTATAGTTGTATGTTGCAATTATAGAAATTTTATACGCTCTCACAGAATACCAGCGTAAAATGAGTGTAGAGAACAGGGGACACATTTTACTGAGAACGAGATATTTCCTCGTAGTTTTTAGGGGTGACAACGCATCTGCATTTTTATTCCTAATCAAGGATATATATACAGGGTATTTTTGGAACGCTCCCGAAAACTAAGACAGGCGACAGCACCAAGTATACCTTTGATCATGGGTCACAAATAAATTTGATCCTGATGAAAAAAAAATCATATTTTTACAACGTTTTATTAGCTTTATTCACGCGCCATCATGTTAGTACAGCTAAATGAATCGATAATTTCATAAAAAAAATCATGAAAATACTGAAACATAAAACCAGCAGTGGAAACTGAATTGATATCACCTGACTAATGGAGGTTAATGTACGCGCGAACGGTGAAAAAAGAACGCTGGCCTTGAACTTGGGCATTGAGCGATTTATCACATATAGGTACGAGGGGGGTGCGACGGGGGATCAATCCGCCAGTATTACTGTGCCTGCATGCTATTGGTTCACGCGCTTTGTTCGCTCCAAAAATACAGTCGCATACACAGCTTACTTTGCGACTCGCGACGATGTTTTAAAAAGGAAGGAAACAAAAATTATTTATATCTATTGTTTTATGACTAAACTAGTGAACGAAAAGGTAAATATGATATGAGAAGGTGAATGGGGAAAATTGTGCAGTAAAGTGTTGAGGGAGAATACCGAAAAAATTACCATGTGATCGACCTGATGACGGAAGCTCAAGCGAAGATGAAAGTGATGATGAAGTAGCATCCAGTAATACCAACACACCATCAACATCTGACTTTCATGTGACCCAAGACGTCATAATGGACGGCGTGTCACCCTTAAGTTTTTTTTGTTACAAACTACTTTATATTTTACGATAGAAATAACAAATAATGCTCAAGTAAACATTATCCATTTTTAATTCCCACCTCTTCCAAAGTTCTAAGTAAATAGTAAAACACCTATTATGATTCCACAATTAAACAATTAATTACTATAATATTATAAAACAATAGCCCAATACCATGTAGTACTTTAGAACGCGACTGTACCCACACTTCCTCCGCTGTCGACCTGTATCTAGCTCGGTACGAAACAATGGTATGCGGTCGGAAGAAAAAAGGGCGCATCTAACAATTTTTGAATAAATGAGTTAAATATACCATGACTCATGATAAGAAGGCGCATCTACTAAATTTTTTTAATATTCACAAATATCAATATTTTAGAAATTATCGTAAGGATTTTAGACGTAACTGTTGATCACAGATGACATCTTTTTATTAGAAAAGACTTCAACATAAAAGAAAAGACTTATTTAACCAGTGGCTACGTCATCTTTAACAATATTTGCATCGATTACTTAAATTTCAATTATTCTTGTCTTTTTATTCTATATCTTATTATTAAGAGCTTATATCTTATTACTAAGAGCTGGTGTTTCACATGTGGTCCCATATAAATTTGATCGAGGTCAGACCAATAGTTTTTGAGTCATCCTTAATTATTTATATTAAAGTCGGTTGTACAAAATTTTTAATTATTATCGTAGTAAGTCTTGTATGATATCCCCTTTAAAATCATTACTCAAGAGTTGCGGGTTGTTATTTTTTGTGTCTGACTACCAATGCTTTTCTAATATTTACTAAGAAAAAAGTAGTAAATTACTATTAGCGTCCTTTCAACTTCAAATGACCTTTCCAAAATATGTAAAAATGTTAAATGAATGGCAGTTTTTTTTATTTATTAGGTTGGGAAGACGCAAATAGTTATATGCGTCTTTCCTTCGATGTTTTTGTGTTGCCAGGTGTATTTTTTAATCTAAGATGAAAAGGAAAATTCGTTTTATTTAAATAAATAAACAAATTATCAAAAAATAAGTTCGTCCTTAAAATCTTCATGTCTCTACGTACATATTTCAATTTTCATATAGATACCTTTTAATATACTTTAGACACGGGGTCTGAAAGAAAAATTCATAAATTTATTTTTTATTTCCATTTTACGTTTTTGTTAGTTGCGTACTTCTTTATTTCGTATGACGGCAGAATGTAACCCGGCCGGCTCATGTCGCCTCGCAGAATGTAACCCGGCCGGCTCGTGTCGTCACGCTGTGACGCAGTAGGTTTCCGTTTATTCGTCGGGGTTCGTTATTAATTGTAGTTTTTGAAACAGTTCCGTGTTGATTTTGTACACGCGTGCGCGAGCGACAGTTCAATCGTTTTGTTTAATAAATTTACTTGTGATTACGTGTTGATATTAAAGTTTTTGTTACGTTTTTGGATTCTTTTTTGTTTTAATAATGCCTAACGCGTACGTTTATAGTGGTCAACATGTTAGGTATCCGAACCTAGGTACACGAAGTATCGCTAAATAAATTGTTAAGACGTCGGGATCGTACAAGTGTGTCATACTGTACAGTGCACAAAGTGTTGAAGCGTAACCAATGCGCCCATACAAATTGCACAAAGTGCAAGCTTTAGTTCCCGGCGATCACGACCGCCGACGAGTTTTCTGCCGTTGGTTATTATACCAGCAACAACGTGTGCCTGGTTCCATTGAGCACATTATCTGGACGGATGAGTCGACATTTACCAGAAACGGCCTGTGGAACCGAAGAAATACACACGTGTATTCAGAGGTTAACCCGCACGCTGTTCGACAAACCGGGCACCAAACCCGATGGTCGGTTAACGTATGGGCAGGTTTATTTAAGGATCGCATACTGGGACCAGTGTTTCTGACAGAGCGACTGAACGGACAGCGATACCTAAACTTTATAAATGAACAGTTGGTTGACATTTTAAACGACCTATCGTTGGCTGAATATCGCCGCACATGGTTCCAACATGATGGTGCCCCTCCACATTTCGTGAGGTTCGTCCGTGAGCGCCTCAATGAGTTATTTGATGATCGCTGGATCGGCAGACTAGGACCACACGCTTGGCCACCTCGCTCACCAGATCTGACTCCGTTAGACTTCTTTTTGTGGGGTATGTAAAAGAAAGGGTTTTTAATCGTGAATGTGATAGTGCTGAAGAAATGCGCCAAAGGATCGTGGATGGTTTCGAGAAACTACGTACGGACTGTGTCGAAGACCACACGATGATGCCCCGCCTGCACCCAAATCTACCTTGAAATGAATGGAGCACAATTTGAGCCGCATCTCATAAGACCACGGAGGATTTAGAGCGGTAAGCTGTTTCATACCTATTTTTTTTTAAATAACTTAGTACTAGACTAATCTGAATAGGTACATAACTGAATACATGAGAATAATAAACATACACGATGAATAAAAACTCATGACTCCAACTTTGGTTACATTTCATTTAAGTATTTTTTCATTAGCGGGGAATCGAACCAGTTATTTGGGTTATTTAACCTGTAAATTCGGATTAAAGTGGCTAAGTGGAGACAAGCACAGTGGCAAAATAGTAGGTTAAGTAGATAAGTAAGGTATTTAGACAAGTGTTGTAAATTATTAGATATTGTGGTTTGGCCCGCTAGTTGCGGGCCGCGCGAATTTGCGTTCGCGCGTACATTGACCTTTCAGTCAGGTGATATAAATTCAGTCATTCCACTGCTGGTTTTATGTTTCAGTATTTTCATGATATATTTTATGAAATTATCGTTTCATTTAGCTGTACTAACATGATGGCGCGTGAATAAAGCTAATAAAACGGTGTAAAAAGTTGATTTTTTTTTCATCAGGATCGAATTTATTTGTGACCCATGATCAAAGGTGTACTTGGTGTTGTCGCCTGTCTTAGTTTTCGGGAGCGTTCCAAAAATACCCTGTATATATATATGTCGGAGAATTTTCTTAGAAACTATCTTAGCAGTCGTAGAATGACCACACTTGTTGAATGACTTAAGCGGACTCTCTCGCGCACGGCACCTACAGTGAACTTTATACTGCACAAACAAGTGGGAGTTTCTCGATATACCCTCCATTCTACCTAGATCCAAGCGGGTATTTTATAGACGCTCCGACATATATATATATATATATATATATATATATATATATATATATATATATATATATACTTTAATATATGTATGAATGCAATGTTGAAATCCTCACAGTTCGTAAATATACTCGCTCTATCTCTTCTTCTGTCCCTCTCGGAGCAGGCAGAGGTTAATAGGGTAGGTACTTAGCAAGTTTAAAATAAAAACATATATTGTGATCTCACCAGCGGGCCTCACTGTGGTTGTAGCTTCGCTGAAGTTAAACCCAGGCGAAGAATCTGCATAAAGAATACACTAGATCATGTTTAAATTCTAAAAACTTTATTCTTTAATACTGTTTAATAGTCTTTGGTGTAGTTATCGGAGCCATATTTTTTATATTTAAAAAAAAAACGTTACTCCCACACTGGGATTTTCTCCTGTATCTTGAAGTCAGTTTACCAACAAAAATTACGTGAGAACAAGCATCCAGACTCGGAACAAATAATTGTAAGCCATACAAAAACTTGTTCCGCGCGGGATACGAAACCGCGGCTCTCAGCGTCGCAACTTAATGCTAAGCCACTGCGCCACGGAGTCGTCATCAAACCCTTTACTTAGCTGTATGTATGTTTAGTCTGAGTAAATATGTTTTAAGAACGCACTGAAGTTATTAAGTCAGTAAAGTTAGACGCGCAGACGTTAAGTTATTGATAAGATGTTTTGTTGTACATTGTACACTCATATAATCAAATATTTCTTATTCTTATACGTGGTAGAGTCACGCTGCAGCTATATTATGGGTGCATCACGACTGGGACCAGCGAAACACGCTCTCACAGAATACCACCGTAAAATAGCAGCTTAACGCTGCTGTGTTTCGTATGGTGAGTGTAGAGAACCGGAGACCCTTCTTACTGGAAATGAGGCATTCCATTTTAGTCGTCACGGCTGACAACGCATCTGCATTCTGATTCGCAAATGAGAATAGATGTCTATGGGCCATAGCAACCACTTACCATCAGGTGGACTGTGTGCTCGTTTTTCAACCTAATCCTATAAAAAAAAATGTGCGTACTTCATTTTCATTCCAGTTTTGCAAAAGAGATGAGGCATAGTTGCCACGATTGGCAAGCGGGTTGGCAACCGCTGTTTTTTATTATTTAGAGATGTTATCAGGAAGATGCTACTGTCTACCTCCTACTTCACTATCCCTCTGACACCTCTTACGACACCGTCGATATTTGTATATTGCCGCTAAATGACTACTTTAAAAGTGAGGTTTAAATTTTATAGACAATTAATCCATAGCGTGACACAACCCAATTAAACTTACTCAGATCCCAATTCTTAACATCGTCTTCATCTGAGCCGAAGAAAACAGTGTCCGATGATTGCCTTTTCGTTCTCTCAATTGGAATGTCATCACCGAAGCGGTCTTGTAACACTGAAAAATAGTTGATCAGTCAAATATATGGTATCTTGGTATGATATCTTGGAACGTTATTTATTCTATACAAATAAATAAAATTGGAGTGTCTGTTTGTACTGTCAAAATAACAGCTGTTCACTAAATGCATATGAAAGTATATACGGTACTTATAACAAATACACAATTTTTAAAATGTTTGTCTGTCTTTCTGTCTGTTTGTTTCTAATCTAATCTCCAAAATGGCTGGACCGATTTTGATTGGACTTTCACGGGCAGATAGCTGATGTTATAAGGGGTAACGCGCCGTAAGATGCCACTAATTGCAAAGCTACCTGCACACGTGGATACCGCAGTGGATATTCCAGTTGTAGTTGATTCAGACGATGATGAAATAGTCTCCCACAAACTAGAGCAACTGAGGAGTATATTGGAAGAGGATAATTTGCCTCTTGAAAATCGACCGCGACTTCCCTACATACCCTTAAGCAAGCGGAATCGGGCTGCCGTGAGGGCTCTCAACCCAATGCTGGTGACCTATTTGAAAGCCAGCCGGGACCTTTGCGAGTCGGACTCAGTTCTGTTTGACGCCGCACTGGCAGTTTGCCGTATTATTGGCGCCAAACTTCCCACGGCTGGACGCGCTACCATACAAAGTAGCGCCCGGAGAAAAAGAATTGAGGATAGTATGGTAAAGGCAAGAGCCCTCATCGGCAGACTGATAAGCTTCAGATCGAGAATTGTGCGCACCGTAAGGCTGGCGTTTGCTGGGATAAATACTAGTTTGTCCCAACCGGATATCACGCAAAAACTGACGGAGCGCATAGACGTACTGAAGCAGAGAATCGCTGCTTGGGGGAAGCGGATTCGGCGATATACCGAGAGGTCGACACGGTTCAATCAGAATCGTCTCTTCCAGAGTGATTAGAAGAGGCCCTATAAATCATTGGAGCGACCAATGGTACGTGGAACGGGCCCAGCACGGAATCAGGCCGACACTGTCGCGTTCCCGCGTGACCTGTGGTCAGAGCCCGTAAACCACAGCGAGGGCCTTGGACGGAAGTTGTGGCGAGTCAGTGTGCAAGTGTTACGCCCATTGACCCCGTCATCATAACGCTGGATAACGTAGCTGAGGCGGTCTGTAGGGCCCCGAACTGGAAAAGTCCGGAAATCGACAGACTGCATCACTAGTGAGTGAAGGGGTTCGTGGTGTTTCACGCTGTGCTCGCTCGACAGTTTCAAGAGGCTCTCGACCAAAAGTCACTCCCGAGTCTCTTCACTATTGGGATCACTAATTTGGTTCCTAAAGATCGGGATTCCACAGAACCGAGCAAATACCGCCCCATAACGTGTCTACCTACCATATACAAGACACTAACATCCATTCTGAGCGCAAGAATCACTCGTCACCTGAACTCAAATCAGGTGATGTCGCACGCTCAAAACGGATGTCGGGGCTGTGGTCGTGGAACCAAGGAACCACTCCTCATTGACGCGGTCATTGGCAAGGTGGTTAAACGCAACCGCCGGAACCTCTCCGCTGTCTGGATAGACTACAAAAAGGCATTCAACTCGGTGCCTCATACATGGCCGAAGAGGATACTCGAAATGTACAAGGTTGACTGTACAGTTCGAGACTTCCTCGGGCAGTGTACGGGGCAGTGGAGTACGATCCTTTGTCATCTAGGCGAGCGGATGACGGCTGCGGGAAACCACATAAGGATAAAAAGGGTAGGGTTGCTAACTCTGAGGGCATAGACTCACCTATGCCCATTAATATAAAGACCCTTTCCGAGGCTGAAACATACCGATACCTGGGTATGTCATAGGACATAGAATAGAATAGAATAGAATAATTTTTTATTCAATATTGATTTAATAATCCTTATTGAATTAATAATACTTATTGAAAGTCATTTTTTATTTACCACTGGTTCGGAAAACACCCCAGTCCTGGGAAGCTGGGAAGATCCAACAAGAAACCCAGCGGGACTTTTTTTTTCAAACATATTTCACTTAACAATAACTTCGTTTATACAATTTTTAAATGATTTTTCATAGAACCAGCATGGTGGCGATCACCTTATTCCCAGGGATTATTTTCATTCATGTATTCCTTGATATTATAATAACCCTTTTTGTACAATTTTTCTTTAATAAAACTTTTAAACTTGTTTATTGACAAACTTTGAATATGTTCTGGGATTTTGTTGTAAAAGCGTGTACATTGCCCCATAAATGAATTACTGATTCTGTGGAGTCTAGTAACTGGCATTACAAGCTTATGTTTGTTCCTAGTGTTTAAAGTATGCACATCCTTATTCTTATTAAAGCTATTTATGTTTTTATGCACATACATTACATTTTCATAAATATATTGCGATGCCAAAGTTAATATGTTTATTTCTTTAAATTTTTCTCCGAGGGACTCTTTACAATTTAGGTTATAAATCGCCCGTACGGCTCTCTTTTGCAAAACAAATATAGCTTCAATATCAGTCGCATTACCCCATAGCAAAATTCCATAAGACATTACGCTATGAAAGTAACTAAAATACACTAATCTAGCTGTCTCAACATCTGTGAGACTTCTAATCTTTCTTACAGCATATGCTGCAGAACTAAGTCTGCTTGCTAATTTAGATATATGGGGGCCCCATTGAAGTTTCGAGTCAATAGTAATACCAAGAAAAACAGTGGTATCCACAAGACTCAACTCCTCCCCATTTAACAGCACATTGGTATTCGAATGTTTTACACTAGGTATTGTAAATTTAATACACTTTGTCTTATTGCCGTTTAAAAGCATATTGTTGGCCTTAAACCAATGTACCAATTTCGATAGAGCATTATTTACATCGTCATAATTAATTAACTGCCGTTTGAGTTTGATATCGATGAGGCGGACATGAAACAGTCAGTTTGCGATGTGTTTTATGCGCGCTTGACAAAAGTGCTTAACAGTCTTTTGTCAGACGTTAATAAGACACACGCATATAACGGTTGGATCATGCCTGTTCTCATGTATATCTATGGCATACTCAGGTGGACTCAGAACGAACTGAACGCTCTGGTTAGAAAATTCCACACTATTATGACGTCCCATAGGATGCATCATCCGAGATCGTCAGTAATGAGGCTGTACTTGCCGCGGAAACATGGTGAGCGCGGCTTTTTAAGCGCTCTCACACCGTGCATAATTGCGAAGTGTGCAGCCTCCGTAATTGCTTCCTGACGAAATCTGATGATCCATTCTACAGGGACGTCATTTCGTTTGATAAAGGGCTAATCCCTCTAACCTTAGCCAACGAGCAATGGCAAGACTCAGCTGTACAGTGCATTTCCGACCGGGAGACCGTATGGAAGGAGAAAGACCTCCACGGGAGGTTACAAGGCTCTTCATGAGCCTTTCGTAAACACAGTTGCCTGCCTCCACTGGCCACGTTTTGGTGACCTCTTCAGGGAAACCGAGGGTTTTGTCTGTGCAATACGGGATTAGGTTATTAAGACCATCAACTATCGGAGATACATCCTAAGGGATGATCAGCTCTGAAAAACAGCTCCAACTACCTGATTCTTGGCAGCTACTCAGAATTATTTTATAAAAACACTTAACGCTTTTTAAACACTTTTTTTATCCGACACGGAATTCAATATCGGGACCTCATGACCAGCAGTCACAGTCTGGAAACGTTACGCCCATACCAGGAGAAAATCGACACTTTTAGGAGCTCCGCTGTAATTCCATCCCCACCCGGGGCCATGCCATTTTTATGGAAATATGAGACATTCTTATCTCGGTCAGACTAACATCCGGGATATCATCAGAATAGTGTCGGATGAGACTTGCGTTTGGCTCTTAATCTCGCCTAAATTCTCAGGTACTGCAATGTACGTAATAATGTAATGTAATTCTTTGATAGGGCGATGTCACTTGAAGAACAAGACCAGCGCACTTCTCCATGCCTCCGGAGTAGTGCCTCCATGGAGGACGGAATTAAGGAGCTTCTGAAATACTTCAACTACCAGTTTTCCACACGTTTTCAGAAGCTCTGCTGTAATTCCATCCCCACCCGTGGCCTTCCCGTTTTTAAGGTGCTGGAGAGCCATTCTAATCCCGCCCAGACTGACGTCCGGGATATCATAGGAATAATGTCGGATGAGGCTTGCTTTTGGGTATGGCTACAACGATGATGAGTAAAGATGTCTGTTGAACGTCTAAATCCCAATAAAAATCTTAGACTGGAATATCTCCACCATAGGATTTGTCCTATATCTAGCTGACACGAGGAATACGGTTAAGAGAAAAGTTGCTTTCGAAAAGTCTCGGGTTCGAATTCGGCATTTGATTTAGCGTGAAGCACTCCTAGCACAAGCATTTTAGTTTAGCTGTAGTATTAGTGGTATTATAGTAATGTATTCTTTGTTTTAAAGAAGAACTAAAGAAATAAGCATCATATATACCAATACCACCCACATCTGGGCACAAGACTACCCTCATTTCTCAAGAGCTAGCCGTAGTAGCACAAGAGCTAAGCGGATATTCATTTATTATATATTCAAATTATGTGGCCAGTTCGGCAAACTGCTTTTTCGTAAGTAGGTAATAATACATTGACAAAACACTAATACCGTAGTCGCAATAACAATTCGTGACCGTGCCGACCACGAAGCAAACACTATGCATATCTATGATTTTAGTGACGCGCATAATTTGTGGTGAGTCGGGACCGATATTTTTTATTTTACTACTTTATGACGGAATGCTTCTTTACAATTTTGTTTCATTGCTATACTAGATGGCGTTGGAGTCAAGTAATTAACAAATGCTATATCTAAGAACTAACATGATTTATATTCACAAATATATATTGGCTTAGTACCACTAAATCATAAAATCTGAACCCAATAGGTGGTAATGTGGTCCAGTGATTAAAACATCTTAATTATATTTAGTAAAAAGAAAGAATTATTGAAATAGAAAAGAATATTTGGCAATTTCTTTACAAATTTGGGTGGGCACCACTCCTCTAACGTATTCTGGGGCAGTTAGTATATTATTTAACCGTTGATTACCACGTTGGTCTAGTAATCGTAAACGCAGTTGCTTATCATGAGGTCGAAATCCAAGTTGGGCCGAATTCAGTTATTGGGTTTTTCTGTCATAAAATTCTCAGTAGCGGCCGGCAGTCAGGAAGTCGGCGGTGTCTCACCCCTGTGCCTCGGAAAGCGCGTAAACCAGTTGGTTCTGCGCCTGATCTCTCTCCGGTCGTGTCGGTTTGTCATCCCATTGGACTATGAGAGTGAGGCAATAGAGTGTGCACCTGTGCTTGCGCACACACTCGAAGACTATAATCCTGTCCTTTGCAGATGGCTAGTCTCCGTAGCTGCTGGCCGCCGTGCTGTGATCGAAATTCGGTCTGGAGGATGTTATGTTTGGTGCGTCTATTAGTAATTGTGTAACTTTTGAACGACTTGAGATTGTTTTATCGATTTTGTTTGTAGCTATACTGGGATCCCATAGGTGGCACTGTAGTTAAAGTCATTAACAAATGCTATATTTATGAATCAAAATAGCTCATATTCACAGTTTGTAATGAATTAAAAGACGAAAAAGAAATGGCTAGATTTGTATATCATATTATACAGGGTTATTTTGCAATAACCGACCAAAGCAGAGAAGGTTCAGAATAAGTAATATAGGCAAATGGTGAAGAAAAATTAATTTAAAAACATCACAATAATTCTGTCCTTTTTATCTTTTAAATTCTAAATGCGTAGTAAATGGTAATGCATTATTTTAATTGATTTTACTGCGCACGCACACATTCGTAAGGGTCGATCGGTAGGCAAAAACGTTGTTGCTCATAAATCACATTCAATTTGGGACAATTTCAAATAAAAGTTGAAGCCTTATTTACTCGTATTTTCAAAAACTGCAATAACGTTATATCATTACTTTTATATTTGAACTTAAGTTTAAAATGTAGCTACTCTTTGAAAAATAACCCTGTATATTGTTCGGTCTTCAAACTTCTAAGACCGAGACTTGCCCTGCACTAATTGTTTGTAGTTGGACTTACCCAAATAGCCGTCTATGTCAAAAGTTATTTGCTTCCAAGCGAAGACTTCTTGGAATCTCCCGAGGTCCCGTTGCGACCACACTCCCGTGTTTATGAGGTAAACATTTATTTGCAGTAAGATTAATAATGGGTTTGTTTTTGTCTTCATTTCGATGAAATCTGCAAAGAAACAAAAAAAGATAAACGCTTAGTAATTGTGAATAAGTTACCTATTTATAATGATGAGGACGCTAGTTCCATTTGCAGTTGAGAAATCTAAAAAATAGCAAATAAGTTTATGTGTGGTAGAGCCTCGCCACAGCTATATTATGGTTGTAACACGAATGGGTCGGCTCGACCGGGGAAGGACCACGCTCTCACAGAATACCAGCGTAAAATAGCATAGCTTAATGCTGCTGTGTTTTGTATAGTGAGTGTAGATAACCGGAAACCCTTTTACTGTATACAAGGCAATCCATCTTAGTCCTCAGGGGTGAAAACGCATCTATAAGTAGCGGCACGAAAGTGTAGTGGTGACCGATATTGCGTATAAATCGCGCTGATTGGCTCGTGGATATCGTTACCCACACCCCCCGTGACCATGCGTGCTGTAAAGCACTCGAAACGCTGAGAATTTAAATAAGTTAAAAAAGAAGGATGTTCTCAATCTGTTCGACTGTATTTTTTTGTGTGTTACTTCAGAACTTTTTCTAGGTGAATCGATTTGATAAATCTTTTTCTTATTTAAAAGCTGGTGCTTCTCATGTGGTCCCATATAGTTTGATCGAGATCTGACCAGTAGTTTTTGAGTTATCTTTAATAATGCGTACCTATTTAACTGACTTCGACTACATTGATCATATTTTCATTTTATTTATATTGAAGTCGGTTGCACGAAATTTTTAATTGTAGCACTTATTGTTTGTCTGTCTTTTTGTTCCGGCTAATCTCCGAATCGGCTTACACGGTTTTGACGGCACTTGCACTGGCATACAGCTGATGTTATAAGGATTAATTTAGGCTACTTTTATTTTAGAAAAAGAATTAGGGTTGCGCGTGAAAAAATAAAACCCATGAAATCGAATCGCAATAAATACCACGCGTGCGAAGTCGCAGGGAACAGCTAGTAGATAATAAAAATAGTGAGCGTCACAGTCATAACGCATTTTGTGGTCTTCTGCAATGCACTTTGCATATTATGAAATATAATTTAAAATTAAACATTTTGTACAACCGACTTCAATATAAATTATTAACAATACCTCAAAAACTACTTGTCAGATCTTGATCAAATTTATATGGGACCACATGAGAAGCACCAGCTTTTAAATAAAAAAAGAATCATTAAAATCGGTACACCCAGAAAAAAGTTATAAGGTAACACACATAAAAAACGTACAGTTGAATTGAGTACCTCCTCCTTTTTGAAGTCGGTAGAAAACTGAAGACTTGACATGTAATAAAATTAAACATAAATAAAATTAAACATCATAATTATTGTTGTATCTAACGTACCTACCTATCACTGTCATCATCTTGTGTTTTTATGTATGTTTTTCCTTATACATAATTTTCTATTTATGTATTCTAACTTCCATATTCAAAAATGCAATTCATTGTAAACAACAGTTCTTTGCTCAAAAAGACTGTCTGGAAGTAATCGCTTCCGCAAGAGTGATAAGACCGCCTGTTGTACCTTTTTATTTTTGATTTCATTTTAATGTGTATGGGTTTACAATCTATATCTATATATCTATCTATATACTATAATAAAACTATTCTTATTTTAGGGTCCCCCGCAATAAAAAAATTACGCGGGCGAAGTCGCTGGGAACAGCTAATAAAGAATTATATTGATTGATTGAAGTATAATTAATAGCGAGATTGCCACGCTCAAATAGTGTAATGTTGGTTTTGGTTGTTCGTGTTGCAAAGCATCTCCTTTTCAATTCCTAATCGAGGATAGTTGCAGAATGTAATGTTTGCGGTCTCGTTTCCAGTAAAAAGGGTCTCCGGTTCTCTATACTCACCATACGAAACAAAGCAGCGTAAGCTGCTACTTTACGCAGGTGAAAGCGTGGTCCTTCCCCGGTCGACCACAACCATTCGTGTTACAACTACATATATACAATTAATGTAGCTCCAAAATGGCTCTACCATGTATAAAAATCTGTCTGACCAGGGCATATAAAATATTAAAATTTAAAACTATCGATATTAAGAAAACCACAGTACTATTGGGGCAATCCCGTCAAAATTAACGTATGCTTATTTGTAACCTTTAGCATCATTTTTAACCTATAATAAAAAAGATTCAACTGTGTTTTTTTTGCAACAGAGGTTTTTTTCCGCACTGTGGTAAAGCTTAAATGACTTTCAATAAGTTATTCTTGTTATCTTATTGAATAAAAATAATTATATTCTATTCTATTCATTAGTGCTGCAACCATTATTATTTTAATTAATATCAGCTTCATCTACCCTACTGCGGAAACGGATTCAGATTAAGTTGTATCGTCGTTTTGTTTTGGTTTATGGTTGTTTGTTTGGTTTATTTTTAGCTTTTAATTGATATGTGTACTTACTTATCTAGTTCATTTAATTTTATTTTCCTTTTTCTAAAGTTACACTTGGATTTTCTACTGTATAGTGGAGACAGTACGTACAATATAGTTATAATAACTGCAGTGGAGTAGCGTGCCTTAAATTGCCCTGGATCAAAATTTGTCGGAGGGCCAAATGAAGGGTAAAGATTTTTCACAAAAGGAACAAAAACTCTCGCATTGAATTAAAATAATTATATATTGATTATAAGTTATTACTTACAACGAATACTCCTAGGTACTAAGCTATCCAAACAATTCAAACCAACATCCTGTCCCATAGAAGTCCTTAGAATTTTCGCTGACATACGTTCGGGGCCTCTGTAGTCCGGGGGCCCCGTATCATTGATACGGCTGATACGCCGGTAGCTACGCCCCTGACTAACTGATAACCGCGACTTCGTCCGCGTTGCTTTCACACATCACTGAAGACGTATTGCTTATAAAAATCGTTGTTTCTTAAAACTTTAATAACTTTATATTAAATGAAGATATCCCAATTATTTTTTTAGATAAGGGCCAAGTGTCTAAGAAATAAAACTTGGAAAACCTAATTGAAATCTATCCAGTAGTTTTTCCGTGATGCGCGCACAACTGCAAACTTCTATCATTTGATCTATATAGATTTCTTTATTTGCGTAATAAATAAATTATATAGAATAGTGCAAATAGAGGTTGTACAGACAATCGAAAAGATGTGAAACCCTGTCCCTTAAACTAGGTAAAGCCCACTCTTCAGTGAATCAAGCGAAGTCATACCATAAGGTTATACAGACCAATAATTTTTTTTTTTTATAGGATAAGGGTGACAAACGAGCACGCAGTCCACCTGATGGTAAGTGGTTGCTGTGGGCTGTGGCCCATATATATCTATCCTCGTTTGCGAATCAAAATACAGCGCACGGCCGCGCCGCAAAATGATTTAATTGCCTGCAAAATGATTTAACTGTAATATACTGGAATGAACACAATTATAATGGATATGACGAAAAGGAAAATTAAATGCGAATATAAGAAGGCATTATATTATAGGCATTATATACAAAAAACATTACATATTTTCTAAGAAAATTACTGAAAAAATTATTTTCTACTTTTTAGTTCGGTTATCTACAAAAGCGTGTTTTTTTAGTTTTTTTTTAAACTATTATTTATTTCATTGATTTACTTTCATTCAGTTACTGTTTTATATTATTTTTATTACTGTGTCCTGCAAAAAATGAATGAAAAAATATAATAAATTACATATTTAGGGTTCCGTACCTCAAAAGGAAAAAACGGAACCCTTATAGGATCAGGATTTTATAAAAAAAAATCACTTTGTTGTCCGTCTGTCTGTCTGTCTGTCTGTCTGTCAAGATCCTTTTTCTCAGGAACGCGTGGAGGTATCAAGCTGAAATTCATATCAAATACTCAAGTCTACTGTCCTTTAGAGCTGTGAAAAAATCAAACTTCTAAGCCAACGTAATCAAAAGATACAGCCGTTTATGCCGCAAATATTATGCCGCAAGGGAATCTAAACCTGCAGGGTACTTCCCGTGAACTCAGAATCTTAAAATCTGGTACGAAGCAACGTATTATAACACAGATAAAGGAAAAATTGCGAAACGCATAAATTTTTAGTTACATCATATAATAAAAATATTTTTAATAATTTTAACCTACGGATTTGTTCGGAACCCTCGGTGCGCGAGTCCGACTCGCACTTGGCCGGTTTTTTTACGTACTTAAATTGACCATAGTTAATCACCAATTTTTCATATTTTGTAGTTAAAAGAACACTGATGACACATTTTGTTGTTTTTTTTCTATAGTAAATTTTATTTATGTTCAATTTTGAAGTGGGTTCTACACAATTCGCAATAATTATAAGTTTTAGTTTTTTTTTTACGTTTCTAAAGGCAATGAACCTTAAAGTTCTAATGTTTTAAAGATATATATTAACCTACTTGAAATTAAAATTGTTATTTTCAATGTTTAAATAAGTTAGTTTTGTTATCTAAACTAGAAAGCTGTTAAAACTATTTTACAATTATTTTCTGTATACAATATAATAAACATCATATTTCTAGTAATGTTAAATTTTAATAATGCATTTTTTGATCTATCTATCTAAAATTCTGTGTGAATTAAAAAAAATATTTAAAACTATTATTTTAAGGTAAACACATTTTACTTGCATTCATTTAAAAACGTATTGTACAAGTTATGTTAAAATTAGATATGCTCATAGTACAATGTAATCATAAACGTTTCCTTATACGTAATTTAAAACAAAAACAAAGGTGTCACAAATTGCTGCTGGAAATGAAATTTGTATATTTGTCTGTTTTGTTTGTGATAATGATTACGTTGTTTTACGTTGATTTATTTGTTCTGTGTACCTTAATATCCATTTATTTCATCCATTCCAGCCTATAAAAGTCCACGGCTGAACATATGCCTCCCTCATAGATTTTCTCATGGGGGGATTTTGGCATAGTTACCACTCTTGGCAAGCGGGATGGCAACCGCAGTTGTTATTATTTTCAGTTGTTATTTAGGAAGATGATGCTGCCCATCTCCTGTTTCATTTTCACTCTGTCTTACGACACCCATAGGATGAAACTAAATGTGACAGCCCCGTGGTGCAGTGACTTAGCAATGAGTTGTAGCGATAAGGGCCGCGGGTTCGAATCCCGCACGGAACAAGTATATTTGTGTGGCTTACAAATAATTGTTCCGGGTCTGGATGTTTGTCCTTGTGAAATTTATGTATGTAAACTGTCCCCACAATACAGGAGAAAATCTTAGTGTGGAGGTAACGTTTTGAAAAAAAAGAAAGAAGAAAGAATGGGGTAGTGGATATTCTTACACCGCCACCACACAGTATGCACCATTCTAAAATTACAGGATCGCTAGTCCTACAGGAATTAACAATATCAGGAAAATAGTGTTTTAACAAAATATGTAAATACAATACTTACAAAACGATTCCTTATAAAATAAAACCTAAATCAGTTCCACAAAATCTTGGGTTTTCCAAATTAATAAACAGTTAAGCACTAAAACAGGTCACACAGTTAACGCAACTAATCCGAAGATGTCGACGGTAAGAGTAAGTTAATCAATCGTGTTATGCTATTCTACCGTCCGTCGATCATCAAGTGATTTTTGTTTTTCTATTTATGAAGTCGTCTCACACCTATATGTACATTGCAGTGTTTGCTTTAGAGATGTGCTTATACTTTATCGATATCCTAGTAATAATTGTATTTATTATCTAATATATAAAAATTTATGTTGGTTTATTCGTATTTTATACGCTGCCATACCGTTCATCAGATTTCTGTAAAATTTGTCAACTTATTGCTTGCACTTGCGCGAAGGTTATAGGCATAATACAATTAACTTACTGTAGGTGGCGCGCGTATCGTATCAACAAATTTGTTTCAACTTCAATGAATGATGTATTATCACTCCTAATTAAACAATGTAACTCTTCCTTTAAAAGGATGTTTCAACAATTATTTAGTCTGTGGCTGCAACACATCGAGTAAAAATTAAAGAAATAAAAATTATAGAAATAAATTTGAAGTATGTCTCTATAATATATGCAAAATAACTGCCTTATATTGAGTTGAGGGGATTATTTGTATGCAATTAAGACATGAATAGGTAATCGTTAAAAAAACATTGTCATTCTGTCAGGGCTAATATTCGGAATGGTGGAACCGATTGCAATGAAACTTCACAAACAGAGAGTAGTGCTGAGAGTGATTTAGGTAATATTTAATCCGAAGAACTAGATTAAAAAAAAAACGAATAATTGATAAAATAAATTATCTTATATTATCTTAAATCTAAATAACGTTACGTTAATAGATCCTACCCTGGCTAAGTTAAGGGCGGGTTGCTGGTCACTTACGATATTATACAACGATTTATAAAAAAATTCAATTATAAATCGCACATTAACCGTGTACTCTACCTCTTGTCGTCTCGTGTGTGATTTGTAAGAGGTGTCTTTTTTTATAAAATATGGGTGTCAAACTAGCACACAGACCACTTAATGGTAAGTGGATGCTGTGACCCATAGACATCTATCGTCTATTAAGAATCCAAATGCAGATGCGTTGTCACCCCTGAGACTAAAATGGAATCCGGTTCTCTACACTTGCCATACGAAATGCAGCACCACAAAGCTGCTATTTTACACTGGTATTCTGTGAAAGCGAGGTCCTTGCAAGATCGAGTCGACCCATTCGTGCTACAGCCACAATATAGTTGCAGCATGGCTCTATCATGTATAAACAGACAGAAAGAGGAAAGCTGAAATAGGAGATGGGCAGCATATTTCTCATAACCACTCAATTATGAAAAACTGCTGTTGCCAACCCGCCTGCCAAGTAAGGCTATAGTTGTCCTTTTGATAGCTTGTAATGGATATTGGAAAATATATATAAAGATCGCGAGATTGGCCTAATGAAACTTTGTGGATGGGGGAGAAAACATTGAACGCGCGTGACCATCACGCTCAAATAATATTTTATAGCTTGATACCGCTGAGTTTCGTATGGTGGGTGTAGAGTACCGGATACCCTTTTTATTAGAAACAAGGTATGCCATGTTAGTCCTCAGGAGTGACAACGCATCTTTTCGGGGATATATGTAGAATGTTGTTTTGTCACGTGGTAGAGCCATGCTGCAGCTATATTAGTAGTATAGTTGTATCACGAATGGGTCGGCTCGACCGGGGAAGGATCATGACCTCGCAGAATATCAGCGTTAAATAGCAGCTTAACACTGCTGTGTTTCGTATGGTGAGTGTAGAGAACCGGAGACCATTTTTACTGGAAAAGAGGCATTCGATCTTAGTCCTCACGGGTGACAACGCATCTGCATTTTGATTCGCAGACGAGGATAGATGTAGATGTCTATGGGCCACAGCAACCACTTACCATCAGGTGGACTGTGTGCTCGTTTCTCACCCATATGCCCAAACGTACTCAATTTTAAGATGTCGTCAAGTCTCGTGGTGTCTTTAAAGTGATAGAGACAGCACGAGACTTAACGGCCATTGTTCTATAAAAAAATATAGGCGGTAACTTATCAGGACGTTTTGCAAAATATACAAAACTATCGATATTAAGAAATCCTGACAGCTCTATTGGGGAATCCCGGTAATGTTAACATATGGTTACTTGATAAAATCGTGCCCCAACCCAACTATTATTACGTAGTACTAATATTTATTCCGTGCTAATCTTTAATATATAACCTATAATAAAAAAGGTTATCAAAGGTATTTTTTGCATGCGTATTTTACGCGATATTTCCGCCGATTTTAAACGCATTTTAATTTTTTTTTTTTATTGAAGAGACTGAAGAGACTGCATAAAGCTCGAGGGTAATTCCATTAAAATTAAGGATTTTTTTTTACCATAAGTGTGTAAATATAAATGCGTTGTTATTTAGTCCACTCAAAATGGTGAAAAAATAATAAAAATTTATAAACTAAAAGAAGTTAAAACTAATTTAAAATTAATGTAACAAAACATTTATACATAACGGTGGTAGAGCCATGCGGCAGTTTTTGCTGTTGCACGTATGGGCCGGCTCGAGCCGGGTTGGTACCACGACGTCACAGAATACCGGCGTGAAGTAGAAGCTCTGCTTCTGCGTTTCGTCTGGTGAGTGCAGGTGGCCGGAGGCCCAATTCCCCCCCCCCCCCCTCCCCCATCAACATGGTAGCGAAATTACACGAAAGACTACCCCAGGAGGGTACCAGCACACCTGGAGAATCCCTCGCTGAGCATCCACGACCATGTTATTCCAATCCTGGGTGCTCAGGCTGCCCCGCGTATTCTGGGGGGGGGGGGGGGGGGGCGAAATTCCGCTCAAAAACATAACTGCTTGGGGCAAACTGAGCAACAATACCAAGGCGACCCCTGCCACGCTATCTGTGAATTTCTGCAACATCAGGGGACTTCACTCGAACCTAAACGCCGTCCATTACCATCTCGCGACGGCGAGTTTGCGTGTATGTCAGAGAGGACATCTGTTCTCGACGCCTCGGCAGTCTTGAAGGTTCGGACCTGTCCATCCTTTGGGTACTCGTAGACAGCGACGACCATCCGCGCGTCTACGGGTGCCTCTATAGGTCCCATAGCGGTAATGCCGAAACAGACCGACTCATCGACCACGTCCAAATGGCTACAGATTCCTTACTACAACAGGTCCCATCCGCAGAGATCGTGATCCTTGGCGATTTTAACGCCCACCACGCCGAATGGCTCGGTTCACGTTTAACCGATCATGCGGGGAGATCTGTTTATGACTTTGCCTTGGCATATGGTCTGACACAACTGGTTACTTCGCCTACGCGGATTCCAGATGTGGAGGATCATACATCTTCCCTGTTGGACCTTCTGCTAACCTCTCATCCGGACGGATATTAGGTTTCCGTCGATGCCCCTCTCGGCTCTTCGGACCATTGTCTGATCCGGAGTGTGGTACCACTCACGCTCTCCTCGCGGTCGCGTTCTGCAGGTTGCCGCCGTGTTTGGCATTACAGGTCGGCGGATTTTGACGGAATGCGGTCTTTCTTTGCATCCTACCCATGGGGGCGGGTTTGCTTCTCGCCGGATGATCCCAGCGCTGTTGCTGACTCTGTCACTGATGTGGTGCTACAGGGCATGGAACTATTTATTCCATCATCTGTGGTACCCATCAGAGGTAGATCTCAGCCCTGGTTTGGTCGCTCCTGTAAGACTGCATTACGCAGTAAGCAGGAGTGTTATCAGTCCTGGGCTGGGGCGACGCATCTGCATTTTGATTCTTTATTGAGGATAGATTTGGATGTCTATGGGTCACAGCAACCTTACCATCAGGTGGAGTATGTGCTCGTTTGTCACCCTATCATATAAAAAAATACAGTACTAATAAGAAAAAAAAACAATTTTTAACATTTTTGTATGTCTGTCTGTTTGTTCCAGCTAATCCCCGAAACGGCTGGTCCGATTTTGACGGGACTTTCACTGGCAGATAGCTGATGTCATGAGGAGTAACTTAGGCTAGATTTGTTTTCTACCGACTATAAAATAGACGGTACTCAATTCGACTGTATGTCTTTTTCATGTGTGTTACCTCATAACTTTTTTCTGGGTGACCCGATCTCGATAATTCTTTTTTTATTTGGAAGCTGGTGCTACACATGTGGTCCCATATAAATTTGATCAAGGTCTGATCGAAGGTTTCTGAATTATTCTTAATAATTTATATTGAAGTCGGTTGTACAAAATTTTTAATTTAAAATTATAGAAAGTGAATTAGGGTTCCGCGCATAAAAATTAAAACCCATAAAATCTAATCGTAATATATTCCACGCGGGCGAAGTCGCGGGGAACAGGTAGTATAACATAAGCTCACACGACCGTCATACAGAATAGTAGGTGGAGAATAGAATAGAATAGAATAGAATGATTTGTATTCAATATTGATTATTCATCATCATCATCATCATCATTACAGCCCTTCACAAGGCCACTGCTGAACATAGGCCTCCCCCAAGGAATGCCACAAAACATATATTGATTATTACATAATACTTATTGAACTGAAGACTACGGACTCACATTTGGTACCATTGTGACAAACCTCTGTCAACTCCTTCACATCCTTAGCGTATACAAGCAAGCTTGCTTGTGTATACTCCAAGTTCACATCCATATTTCTACGCACACATGCTCGTCGGTTAAGGGTACTCTTAATTTGGCTTATCTTCAATATATCACCAATTCGGTCGGTAAATTTTAGGCTAGGGCGACCTTTGCCGACTCAACCGCTCACTTCAGCAGCACCAATTTGTTTGTTCACTCTTTCCTCGTTCATTCTTTCTACATATCAAAACCTCCGAAACATTCGTTTCTTAAGTAATCTTGGTCACATCTTACAAACCACACTTTTATCTTCACACAATTTCTCATCCCATCATACAGTCCTTCTTATACTCTCATGCTTCTTCTGCCACATCTATATACTTTTCCAAGATACTAAAAAGAAAAAAAGAATTTCAACATTATAATATAAAAAAGTAAAGTGAATTTGTAGCCTATTTACGTCCCACTGCTGGGCACAGGCCTCCTCTCATTTCTGA